CCTGATGTAATATTTATATACACACACACACACACATATAAGCAAACACACACACCTACATGTATAGATAAATAGCTGCACACGCTGACTTAAACATGAGCTAGCAATACGCTTTGTTAGCATTCCTAATCTAGTAGTCTATAAAATAGACTCAGTGCTGATGTATTAACTCAATACCCTCCTTAGAAACCTACAGCGTTCTAGGAATATTAGGGCTATGGCTAAAACTTCGATAGCTGCATTAGCTTATGGTCATTTATTGCAAAGCTATACTATGTTATCCAAAACTATGTTTAGTCCTGTTTTAAATGACTAAAATATTCTGCCTTTGCTGCTTCCTGTAGGAGGTTATTCTGCAGTTGATCTTGCCATTATTGATTTATTCCTGGTGTTTTAGTCTTTCCTTTGCTTTAACTTCATTACTTGTCATGATATCTGCTGTCCCTTTGAACACCCTCAGCCTTATAGATCAGAGACCTTGTTCTCCACTTCTACCCTCCCTTATAGTAGCACAGAACGAGGGGTAAACGCTAGCAAGCTGCACTCTGCTGTGCTCCTTCCAGGGCACAGGATCAAGTGATTAGAGCGCCAGGGACACAACAGGGACTCGGTGCTGCCCTTCTTTTCCCTGATTTACTATGGAGTGGTAGACGCCACTGTCATCCTCGTTCATAAATGAGCAGCTTGCCTCTTCGGCCATTAACTTAGCAGGTATTGCCCCATGCAGTCACTAGTTCAGCAGAGACTTTCAAAAAAGTGTCAGACAAAATTAAGGAAGTCTGAGCCTAGAGCAATGAGGCTAGGAATATTTTTAATGGAGATATTACCTCCTTTAAAGGCTGTTTTGAAATAGWCTTTGAAATTCCCAGACCAGGACTCTCATTGAACGATCATTTTCTCCAGTAGTCTTCACTAGTTTTGCCCAGTCCAACCAACATCCCCATCACTACTGAGATGATACCTGCACTGTTAGGAGCACACACACACACAAAAAAAAAAAAAAAAAAAAAAAAAAAAATCCACCAAGGAGATGCCCCTGCAGCCTCAGTCATACCTGGTGCAGAAGGAAGGGAGCTGCTTCAGATATGCTGCACCCAGGAGGAGAGGCAAGCAGAAAGACGGGTAGGTTCTGCTCCTGAGGAGTTTCTGAAAGGCAGACAGTGCAAAAAAAAAAAAAAAAGATTAGTAAGACTGCTCCAACAATAABGGTAACTGTGCATAACAATTCATTTCAAAAGCCTTGCTCTTCCTCCCAGGTCCTTGCAACATTTTGTAATCTTTCTTCATAAGATAAAAATGGATTGTTTGTACAAAAAGCAAGTAGAAGGGGCTTTTTCATATAACAATGTTAAATACCAAAGGAGTAACACCTTTTTCTGAGCATTTTGTTTTCTCTGAAAAATCCTTCTTGAGAGAATAGTCTCTTCTCCCATTTTCCACATGTGCTACTGATATATTTTTTCTCCCCTCACCTGGCCATAGGCTGCTACTAAGACTGCACACCTTCCATAAAGAAACACACCCAACTGGCAAAGTATAAAAACAAATACCTTTCCCAGATAGACTTTTACTGCCATCTACTCTCTCTTAAGCCAACCTCATGTAGTTTTCTTTTCCTCAAGAATCCTAGGATGTTGACAAAGAGGCCACAAAAAACATCTTAGCACATAAAAACTAACAACAAAAAAGCGTAATCCACCGCCTGCTAGCACCAGATCCTTCACGTCAATATACTGCACTGCTTTTTCCAGATCAGATTTTAAATTCTCCAGGGAGAAGACTCCCACAGCTTCTCTTAAAAGCTTATTCCAGACTAATAGACTTTATTGTCAAGGAGTTTTCCCTTGATACTCAGCTGTAATTCTTTCCTTATTTTCCTTCCCTTGTTGTCATTATACTCTCGCATCATGCTAAATTATCCTGCTTCCCACACAGCAAGTTAGCCACCTACAAACATTAGAGGAATATAAAACATTCTATAGCAAGTCCTTACACCAGAGTACTTTTGTATGTCAAAAAAATATCACTGTAAAAGTGAACTGGGGAAAATGTCAAACTAAGTAACACAAAAGGCCATAGAATGAAAGCAAATCTGTAATTCAAAAGGTTAAACTGGAAARTCACTTTTTTTTYCTTCTTTTTTTAAAGAGATCTCAGAGCTCCTAATTATGAACAAATGCTACTTATTTAACCTGAAATAGTTGGTAACATCCTGGTACTGCAAATCAGCATTTACCATTTTGATTTAGATGGTTTTAGAGGCATATGCATGAAAGCCAGCTAAAGGAAGCAGTGTTTCTTCAAATATTTTGCTTTTTTATGTAGAAAATATATAAACCTATTGTATCTTATAGATACTATAAAGCAGATTCAGTACATTAAGAACTGCAACATCCCTTTGTTTCAATACATTATCTATGCCAGACTATAGCAGTTACAAGTCAGCATTCATGGGTAGTTTCAGAACATGCCTCAAAATGTTGCAGCTTTAAATTGAAGATTTTATTCTGCCTTTAGAGTTAGGTGAATAATACACCTTATCCACGCAACTTATCAGTCAAACATATCTTAAYTCAAAAGTTACTTATTTCTTCAACATTTTGATCAACTGCACTAAAAATGATTTCAGAACTCAAATTTTTAGGCTTCATATTTAATGATGCCATAAATGCCTTTTTGTACTAGTACTATCCTTCTAAAACTTTAAAATGAATCCCAAGGCGGTGTGCAGACTGACTACAGCTAAGGAAATTAGCATCAGGAACCTACGTTCTACTGCTGATTGTCTTGATGAATCACTAAGTGACCTCGAAGAAGTCATTTCACCTCTCTTTGCCAGTTATACAAATTATACAGAATTTAATACCTCTTTTCCATAAGGGAAGTTTAATTCATGAACACTTACAAAATACTCTAGAGAACTTTGCAGRAAGTTTAGTAGAGAAATACTACTACTTACATTTAGAGTGTAAAAACTGTGCCGGAAAGTTTTTGGGAGGATCAAAAGACCAGATGACAAAGAGTTTGTGAAAATTCCTTCTGAAGTTTTGTTTGCAGTCAATAGTCTGTTAGTTTTGTGTATATGTGTGCACGTGTTTCTTTTTATTATGATTTTAACTACTGCTAGGCATTAGTCACACAGTTGTGTGGGTGAGAATAACCATTGAATGCTCTTCTCAGTTGTGTTGCAACTATGACTGGAGCTCCCACTGGCTCCTTGGACCAATGAAATACCTTAAAAAATGTGTGATGGAATATTTTTGATAATTAGTAAGGCATTCCAATGCATTGGTGTTTTCTTTAGGAGTTTCGTCATAAGCTCTCAACCTTATTRTTTTCTATTTTCGTACTATAAATGGGCTTTGCTTACAAACATCAAAAAGGACAGATACAAAATGTACTGTATAAAACTGCAGGTAGCTTCATTTGAGAACAACTTTCTAGAAGAATCAAGTTTCCTGTTGTCTTCTTTTGGAATTGTAGTGCATATGTTGAAACTTGTATATCATTTACAGTATTGAGTCTTGTGCCACTGCTGTACCTGATGTATCCAATCTGGATTAAACAGAGTATGTGCCACAAATACCAAGATGATGCTGTAGATTCCTTCTAAAATATTTGGGAGAGTTTTTTTGGAGTATTTTGGGTTTTGACACAAGTCACTCACCTCTGCTTACTTAAAAGCTCTTAGTATTTAAAACTATCATTATTGAGAACAGATTGATGACTGCTGAAAACAGACATTATAGGTATATACACACTGCTGTGATAAGTGTTTTTCTTAAAGCAACCTCCTTTTGAATGTCAGTCGCAACAACTTTGTTGTGACAGAGAGGCACAAATAAAATAGGAAAAAAGGGGCAAAGAAAATCACTTTTCCTGAAGTGTTATTAAATTAAAAAAATTTACCTTACATTACTGTACACCTTACATTACTCTCTTAAAAGGTAGTCTGGTCCTACATATTCCTTTTAGGATGAAGTCTTGCATTCTATTCTGCAGATAGTCAGCTTGCTTTAACTGCAAAATAAGTTAAATTGATGTCATATTTAACCATATTATAGGGAAACATCACTTTAAAAGGCATTAATTATTTAAAATTGTCAAAATACTCTATAAACTAAATCTATTACATGAGCTAACATCCCCTGACAGCTGCTATTGAACATCATAGCAACTTACGTTACTGCATTTTTATTACTTGCAGAATAGCCTGACACCCACTAGGTGACACCATTTCCTTACCTAAAAGTGGAGGAAGAAAATACCCCATTGCAGAGGAGGATAAAGATCCTACTCGCAATTTTATGCTGAACTTCCATGYTACTCTTGTGCTAGTTTCGCAATTCTCCTGCAGAGTGACAACTCTGCAATGAAGACTACAGATTTTGGACCCACTACTTTACAAGAAGTTCTCAAAAGCAGTACCAGGACCACCACAGAATTTACAGCTAATACTGTGATTTATTTAAATCATTTGAATTAAAACCTACCACATTTCTCAAAATGAATTCTGCTTCCCAAACCAAACAGGAAATATTAATTAGTTTCAGTATTAATAGGTACTTTCCTATCTAATTAGAGCCATCTAGTAAGTGTTGCAAGTCTGATAAGACTGCATCCATAGAGACAGATCAATTATGACAGCTGCAATATACATAATTAAACCATCCTCTACTGCACAGCTTGTGATATACCTAGCTGTTACTTGTATAGTATTAATTAACCTAAAATTATCAATACATAGAGATGCAGAATGTCTGCTACTTAACTGGCATACAGTCATTGCCTACTGTTAACTACAGAAAACAGAAYGACCTCTAGCTCCGAGCAGAAACTTTTGTGAATTAACGTTCATCTAAAGTTTATGGGAAAATCAAATAAAACTGATTAGTTTAGATTTTTTCCTTTTCTACTGAAGCTTCTTATATGTAAGTGGCTGCCTTCCATGTTCATTTACCTCTTATTTTAAAGACTGCAACTGAACATCCAGCTGTATCATTCATTTCTGTTTATTGAGAACTTGTGACACCATCACTGGAATGCATAAAAACATTTGCCTAGAAATAATTTGCTTTTGAAAAAAGACAATATTTGTTCTTCAAACTTAAACAACGCATCCCCGGAGTGGCAGAGCAGTTGCATTTTCAGGTAAGTCCATTCTCTGCAGCAGCCAGTCCAACAGCAGCACCATCAATCATCACTTCTCAGCAGTTCTTGCAAATAAACCGAGTTGACGTAATAGGCGTTCACGCAGTTGAAGTGGCTGTAGCTGTTCCTGTAGTACCTGTGAGACACTGCAGCATAGTAGTTCTGCCATGCCTGATAGTAGGACTTCCAGTAGTTCCTGTAATTCCAAGATTCATGTGGAAAGCCAGGAACACAATCACCCCAAGGGCTGCCCGAGCAGTTGTCTGCGGTTTCTCTCACGGGTGGACTCGGGAATCGGTGGTAATTGCCTCTCTTTTGTTTAGCATTTTGTTTCGGAACTTTCTTTTTCATTTGATTTGGCTTTRGCACTTGCGATGGCTCCTGAGGCTTCTCTGGCATAGGAGAGAAGCTCTGACCTGTGCTGGCAACATTATTTTCTGGTGTGTCTGAAAATGCTTCAAAGCAGGAGTTATTTTCCCTGCTGTTAGAGGAAGCCCTAGAACTGTATGAACTATCACTATCCACAGACACATCATCATCTCCTACTGTCTCTCTAGGATCTTCCAAATCKTTACACTCTACAGTACCATTTATGGGAAGTTCACATTGCTTTTCCGGACCTGAATAACTTCTTAAAATTTCAACATCCCTCTCCAATCCTTCTTTAAGGAAATACTCATAGTCTTCAACAAACTCTGAGAAGTTCCAGGAATCGTTGTGCCTTTGGGTTTTGAAAGTTGACAAGCATGGAATTTTGGGCAGATTTTTTAACACATCCTCATCTGCAGCCTTAGTGATATTTTGCTTCTCCATTGTGGAGACAGCTCCTACTTGATTCCTCTGTTTTGTGCTGCATTTGGAAGCTTGGAGGYTACTTTTTTCCATATTTGCAGAATTTGTGCATCGTTTTGTTTTTTGCTTGGRAGGCTTCTTGGGTCTGTCTACAGAATTATCACTTGGAAGATTAGAATGAGCCTGAGGTATCTCTGCCAAGTTACTTTGGTCTAGTCGCTCTGTTGGTTCCTCTGGCCTAAGCAGCACAGCACCAGAACTCACTGAAGCTTCTGGGTGTGCAGCAGCTTTGACTTCTACCTCCCAGCCTTCAAACTGATCCATCATTCCAGGAGGAATGGGCTCTGCACAAAAGGGAAACAAGCAGGCACTCGGTAAGCGCAGCCTTCCTTCTAGAATTCCAACAATAAAACCAAGTTTTACAGAACCACCAATAATACAGTAAAAGATGTTAAGCCGGGGCTATAAACTTATCTTTCTCTTTCTTGAAAGAACTCAAATAGCCAGAATATTTTCTTCACAGAAGTCCTCAAGAAGCTTGAACAGTACAATAAGTACTRGACTACTAACTGATTTTCTAGCATATTGCACTCCATCAGATAAAAACAGAAGGAAGGATAAGTAAGATTCTGGCAAAACACACCTTCTGACAAGGTCAGTGCAGCAAGTCTTTGGTCACTCCAATTATTTCTTCCTTTCACTACAGCCTGAGAAAGGCTTAGTACWAGTCAACAACTGCTGTTCTGTACCTTGCTTCTGTGCTAGGACAGTATCTGGAAATCCACGTAGCTAAGTGGATGCCTAAACAGCAGCTGGATGCTGAGCTCCTTCCAAACCCAGACCCAGTGACATTCCTTGTGTTCCACTGTTCTGCACAGCTGCAGCAGTTGCCCATTCACAGCAGGTCATCAGCCCTGGGTACAAACGATCTGACTGTACTAAACTAACACAGCTGCCCTCAGCAGGGGAGGCAGCTCTCAGTTCTCTAGGGATTGCTCTGAATTAGCAGCAGAAAACAACCAAGAAAACACCACAGCTGCACTCCCAGGGCAGAACATACCTGGCAAGGGAAGAAGTTGAAGATTACATTTCTGTGCTATTTTCATCATCATGTTTTCCTCCTCTCCACGGCAGCAGTATGTCACAGACAAACCTAAAGTTCCTATGATATACAGTGGAAATAGTTATCTAACCAGCCCAAAAAGAGAGATCAAGCTTGACAACTCCACATGACATTATTTTACCAAAGCGTCCAGCTCTGCCAATCCGATGCATATATGTTTCCCAATCCAAAGGAACATCCAGATTGATGACTAGATTCACTTTTTCAGCATCAATTCCACGAGACGTCTTGGGAAAAACAAGAGAAGGAGGTAAGTGAATATCCTAAGCAAATCTTTTAAGAGATAACAAAACATACTGAGGGTTAACTGCTTTTCTACTCACTTCTATTCACCACAATACACTACATGACAGATGCAATTCTGCTATCAGCTTTGACACACATAGAACAAGGATATTACGCCAGGACTGTGTGAGCACACAACCACGCTTGTCCCTTCTGCACAGAAGCATACAAATGCATTTCTTCCCAACCCCACAGCATGACAGAACCCCAAGCTAACAAGTGAAGACAAAACCCACCAGTTCCCATAAAAGCTACCAAAGTCTCAGACAAGAAACATAACCCCTGCTCCACCTAAAGCCGCTTGAGGTTTTCCTGTGGCRAAACATACTGCACAAAAACAAGTTACTATGTCTTGAAGCCTCTGCTCAAAACAAGCACCTCGGCTGTAAAAATTTCCAAATCTCTACAATTCAAAAACAAACCCTCCTTAGCTGTTTCAAAAATAACAATTTCTCTATTGCACAATTAAAACAAGTTATGTTTAAGTTGCATTTGATTCCAAGTCAAATTGAATGCTGTGAAATAAATTTCTATGCAATTTTTACATATGCTACCAAATATCGACTCACCAAGTCTGTGGAAATAAGAACTCTACAGTGGAACTGCTTTAATTTAGCCATAGCATCAAGACGTTGACTTTGATTCATGCCACCTAGACAAAGATAGGTTTTCAGAAACTGATATAAGCAGTATAAACAGATTATCTTCCCTTCTTTCTCATGTGTATTTCCAAATACACTTACCTGAAATGCACTCTGCAGGAAAGCCTTTGGATGTCAGTATTTCTGCTAGATGCTGAGCCCTAACAGGATAAACACAATAGAAATGGTAAATAAACTATTTGCTTAGCGGTATCAAAACAATACCGGGCATGACAGCCAATGTGTCCTTTTTAACAACATGCGATTATTTACAGGAAAGTATTGCATTCCAAAATTACTAGTCTCATCTTACATCCACATCAGTTGCCTTAAGTGCAACAGGATGTAAGTTCTCACATTGGCCTAAGCAATGTAGAAGGCACCTTCATGACAAAAACATTCCTTTCTTTTCAACATTTCATACTTATTTTACCCATTGTGACTACACTGCAGTTGTGAAATTTGAATACATCTTTAGGTTTGTTTGGAGACCTTTATAAGTGATGTTACATGGCTATTATAGCTGCTCCTGTCAAGTAKTTTTTCAGATTTTATTTCAGATTTATTACCTGCTATGCAGATTTGAGAAGACTAAGGCCTGATTAAATGGAATCTTGCTGAACAGCTCCTGCACGTGCTGGACTTTTTCCTCAAATGTCTTATGAGGAAGCGGATGGGAATTCACAATTTTGTAATACTGCTTCAGGCCTAAGGGAAAAAAGCATCAGATTACAGTACAATGCAGATTTTTAATCAAAGACATTATCACTTTAAATTCACATGTTGTCACAACTAGAAGAAATGCCAACTTAGAACAGAAGTATCAAGAAAGAACCTACAAGGTTTTATTTTTTAGAAGAGTGGAACATTTTAAGTGTTGGAAAAAACAGAAAGTTAACTTCATCACTGTTTTTTTTTTTAAATATAGCAATACTGGGAGTAAACAGTTGGTGAACCCATTGATCCTCTACAAAGAAAAATGGTAAGAAATCGTAAATGTCAAGGTGCATCTTTTAGTTTTATTATATTCTTATTAGTCTATCTTACACCAAATAAATTTTACACTTACCAATGAGACTCGGATCAGTCGGGTTCAGCCTCACAAACGTTGGCTCTCTCATGTATCTGGTCAAAGCATTAGCTAGTGATTCAGGATAAGTAGCTGAAACAGCCAGCATCTGTTTGTTGACCGGCAGTGAAGAATAAATCCAGCTACAAAAGAAGGATGGTTATGAGAAAGACTGGCAAAGATGCATCTAATCTTTTAGGTGCACGGGATAAGCGTTTTTCTCACTTGACTTGTTCCTGAAAGCTGCCTTCTTCTAGAAGCTTGTCTGCTTCATCAAGAATGAAGAGACGGATACTGGCAGTATTTAAGTAATCCAACTCTATGAGTTGTTTTATTCGACCTACAAAAGAAAAAAAGTAATCCAGGCTTCACAAATGTTAACTAAAGCATTCTAATCAAGAGACTTTTAATACTTAGTCTTTTAAAAAGGTTTTGCAAAGGTTTGAGTGCTTTTAAAAAGGCACATTCAGAACAATCTCTAACTGAAACATTAAGTCTAATCTGTTAAGCACTGGCCTTTGAGACTCACTTCTATTAATAAAAGACAGAAAATACTAAGATTTCCAAAGTACAAATTATTGCAGAGTGAAAGGTGTGCAAGACACTTCAGCAGACTGAGGCTGCCCTACCTGGGGAGCCAACTGCGATGTGGCACTTCTTGAGCCTTATCTTGTCCTGGTTCAGGGGAGTCCCGCCAATGAAGACRTGGCACTCCAAGCCCTCCATTTTTATTCCGATGGCCATGATGACTGCGTGAATCTGCACGGCGATCTCCCTCGTCGGAGCCAGGATGAGAATCTGCAAGGGGCAAAGGGTGAGCCTTGAAAAGCAGCAGGACGGTTCWGAGGATCAAGACACCCAGTCTGGGCACTTCCATTCTCACAAYATCACAGACAACAACAAAACTCCCTACTAGGGCCTCAAGCCTGTTGCTTATCACAAAATGACAAGGCAGTGGTAAGAATGGGAGCAACTTTTACCACGGAACACGGCGTGCAGGGGCTCTGGGGGCAGCGCCGGGGCCGGCCCGCGCCGGGCTCACCTGCGTGGCGGGGCTCTCCAGCAGCAGGGCGTCCAGGGCGACGGTGCAGAACACGCAGGTCTTGCCGGTGCCGGACTTGGCCTGCACGATGAGGTCTGGAAGAGAACGGCACGAGGGCGGTGAGGGCGCCGGGCCACCCCGCCGCCCGGCCCCGCGCAGGGCCCCGCGCCTCACCCAGCCCGCAGCGCCCCAGCGGGATGGCCTTCAGCTGCACGGGCGAGGGCCGCTGGAAGCCGGCCGCCTGCAGCCCCGCCAGCACCGGCGCCGACAGCAGCAGGGAGCCGAAATCGGAGGGGCCGCCGGGCACGAGGACGTCGCGCGTGCGGAACGGGCCCGGCGGCGGCAACGACTCGCTGGGCGCCGCCATCTTGAAGGCGGGAAGGCGGCCCCGCGCCGCGCACGCGCAGTGGGCGCCGCCCCGCCCCGCGCCGCCGGCGGGCGCTGATTGGCCCGCGGGGCGCGGCGACCGTTAACGGCCGCGCGCCGGGGCGGGCGGAAACGACAGGGAAAGGCGGCCGGGAACGGGGTTGATGGCGCCCTTTAGCCGGGAGGAAGGGCCGAGCGCGCCGCCCTGCGGCGCCCGCAGGTGCTCCCCGCGGTGGGCGGCGCGGCGAGCCCGCCTGCAGCCGCCTGCGTCCCGCATKCAATAACCTGGGCTTTCAGTAAACTGCAGATTCATTACTGATTTACCCCAACCAGCAGATTCATTGCATTCCAAGGGGAAGGTTAATTCTCACCGTGCCTTTCTCTGTACAGCGTGTATCATTTCTGATTTTATAAGGACGTTTTCCACTAACTCTTTCTTACCTAGTGCCACTGCTTGCTACCCATTGAGATAACTCCTTTTTTTATACATATAAGACTTCAAAACCCTCTCCTTTTCCTAACAACATTCCTTCTTTYTTGCTCCTTTCCCCTTCAGCTTCCCTAGGTGATGCTCCTGTCATGTAGATAGCCCGTGCTTGTGGGTGAAGCTGTGAGGTAACGCGTAGCCCCCGCAGCTCAGAGCTCCCTCGGCACGGAACGTGGAGCCTCGTGGTCTGTGCAGCACTGAAGACAGATCCTGTTCAGTCACACGGCACTGGCTGCTGCGCCCACACCGCACGTCCTGCTGCTGCGCCCACACAGCGTGTCGGCACGCTTGCCCTTACCCTTGTAGCTGTCCCAGTTAGGAACTGGATATCTTAAAAGCGAYGGAAGCAGATAGTCCCTTGGCGGGATCAGAGGGTGCCTGCAAACCGCCCAGCTGCCGGTTTTCCTCTGGGAAAGGGGACAGGCTCTGCCCCCGGCAGCAACTTGGCTGCCTCTAGCCCAGCCGCAGCCGGGCTGCCCGGGGTCATAATTACAGCAATCTTTGCAGCTAATTTCCTGGGAGGGACAGTCCACCCACATTAGCATCTGCTGTTTACTGCAGCAATGAGGCTGTGACTCCCCACTGTGCATCCCAGAGGTGCGTTTAGCCCCAGAGAGGCCATTAATGACTCTGTGTATAAAGAAGCAATCCTTTGGACGCAGACAGATAAACCCGTTCTGCTAAGCAACCTTTCACCCACTCCTGAGCAACTTGGTTTTATGAACAGCACAAGAACCTAAACATAAATACTACAGAGGAGGAAACCTCTCTGGTACCGGAGCGGCTGCAGCGCGGCAGAAGGCTGCGCCGGGGGATGAGAGGTGCAGAACTGACTGCGCTGCGAGAGCCGCGTCTTGAGGGTCGCCGGCTGCATTGGCTCCGAGCTTCGCCGGCGTCGGGAGCCCCTCAGCTCTTCTCCTGCATGGAAGTGGCACCAACGCTTTGTTTTGGTCCCTCTAGTTGCAGCACTCGTCCTGCCTACCACCAATGAGTTTCTTGTTAAACACTCCAAGTCTGGGATGCTGGAACTGTAATAGCCCAGCATTCACTGCAGCGAAGGCCCCATGTATTAGTCTGTTGTATTCACACTACTTAACGCCTTCTTTAGAGCACCTATTTTAAATTGTGTTTAAATTAAACATATCAGCTTTTATTGTCATTGCAGTTTAGAGCATCCCACAGTAAATGGGATATGAAAAGTCTCAACGGTGGCTTCCACTGCATGAGTACACGCACGGCTTCGTTATCTCTGCACTGCCAGGCAGCCTGCGTGAATTTTAACGGCTCTTGGTCCAGCACAGTCTCTGTGAGTCTTTTGAAATTCCGTCATATCACTGATAGCAAAAAAAAAAAAAAAAAAAAAAAAAAAAAAAAARGTCTGGAAATTCCTATTCACATTAATTACGATCTTTTTACACGCACGTGTGAGTACCAGTCGAGAGCAGGGCCCCATCCTGTCCCGCATGGTATAAATAAGAAGAGAGTTTGTGCTTTGGGAGCTAAGCTCTGCGGGCAGGAGGGACAGATGGCAGGGGAGAGGAGCAGCCACCAGGCAGAGGGAGTGGGAGAGCAGGGCACCAGCAGCCTGCTAGTTCCAATTATTTTTCAATTTTTAGGTGGATATTCCCAGTTGGTCCTAACGGGGAAACAAGTCTCAAGCATGAGATAATTATCTCTGTATAAATCTAGGAGTAGAGACAGGCAAGGAGACCTGGACGTAACAAATGGTTTRATTAAAGATAGCCTCTCATAACCCCTTTAAATTGATGTGATTTAAACAGGCAGTGAAGAGCAGCCCAAGTATCGGCACCCATGGGGGAGGCACAGGGCAGCAGTGACAACAGCTACATCTCAGGAGCCGCTTCCCTTGGTGCTTCCTCCCCTYGGCCTCTTTCCCCTGGGATAACAGGCGTGTTGTGGCGCGGCCCAGGTGATTCGCACACACAACTCGCTGCTCCCGCAAGCGCGGGGAGACCGGAGTGCCTGGCAGAGCAGATGCTCCCATCTCGGAAGCTCTTGAGCTAGGTCAGTCCATCTAATGAAATCCAGCTAAGGCCTCCGCCTTAAACCCGATACCTGTGGCAGATTGTGACYCTACAGCCGCTGACTTTACAAGATGTATGTTCTGCCGTGAGCCAGGGTGCCTCTGCCTCTGTGCTTCAGATGCAGAACATACACGAGGTGCCTCAGAATGGTGATTATTGGGCACATTTTGCCTGAATCGACACTCTGACACAAGTGAACGAGGTAGGGGCGCAACGGGATCTTTAAAGATCCTGAATACAAACAGTGCATGCCACGAGCAGCCTACTGGAATAACCAGTCACTTTTTGAGGGGCAATTTGTCCCCTCAGGCACAAATAAAAAGAACCGAATTAAATTTTTGACATTACACTCCTACCCATCTGCTTGTGCCTGGCTGGATTTAAGCAAGGATGGATGCAATTCAGGTCACGGCACCGCCTCTGTGGGAAGGAATTGTGAAAGGTTTGCCTTGGTGTGCAAGAGAGGGAAAAAGAGGGAAACGCAGAGAGAACCGTGGATATTAGTTCAGCCCAGAACAGCCAAGCGCAGGCACTGAGAAACAAGATCAATGAACTGAAAGACAACAAATGAGATAAAGTCACTGTCGGCTGTGCGGGGAGGGATGTTTTCTGGAATAGGAAGGAATGAGGCATTTTATGTAAGCTGAATACATTGCTCTGAAGGCATATTCTATTTTTTGCCCAAAGGTCCCAGTTTTTCATTTCATGCTGAAACAAGTCCTCACCTCCTGCCTAAGGAGGTTGCTGCTCCGCTCTTTTCTTCGCAGAGCCCTGGTTTTCCATCGCACGGCGCCATCTGCTCCCCATCCACACCGCTGGCAGGGAGTGCAACGCGGAAGGGAGCGGAGGGCCTGGCACCAAGAGTCACTGCTGCTCCGAACCAGGCACCTGAGCGGAAAAGAAAAATGTTGCTCGATGGAGAAGGTCTACTGAGGGAAAAAAAGACAAAATCTGAATTTTCTCTTCTCTYGCAAGTTCCTGTCAGGTTTGAGCCAAAAAGAAAGGGGGGTTAAATGAAAGCCTGGGCAGAGCACCAGGCTCTCCATGGAGGCTGCTCCATGGCCTCGTTCTGTGCAGGTTTTGCCTGCTGAAACGCTTCCCTCCAGGATAAGGTTGTTTCTTCCACTCGTCACTGCACGCGCTGCCCCAGAGCAACAAATCCTTGGAAAGAGACAAACAGTCACAGGAAGCGGAGACCCTGAAGAGAGCTCAGAGACAGGAATGTTGCCAATAAAGAAAGGGATGCTGCAAGAATCAATGTCCATTAACCCTAGAGCACYGCCCGAATAGGAATGAAGGGCCAGGTCACAAATTTGAGAAATAGGGCAGGGAGAGGATGAAATTCTGCTCTGAAACTGGAGCGGGGCGAAAACTGCTGCTCTGAGGATGGAGCAACGGGAGAGGCTTGGGCAGCTGTTCCGGGGGTTTGTGCAGCTCTTCCTGGGCGCTCGCCATGCGCTGCTCCGGGCAAAGGGCCCTCGAGGGTGGGGGGCTCTGTGGGTCCCGCGCGGGGCTCAGGGCTCTGTGGGTCCCGCGCGGGGCTCAGGGCTCTGTGGGTCCCGCGCGGGGCTCAGGGCTCTGTGGGTCCCGCGCGGGGCTCACGGCCCAGGCCGGGCAGGTCAATCGGCCCCTCCACGCGGGACACTCTTCCAGCGCGGAGACCCCCCTGCGGCTCCCAGGGCCCCGCTCGCGCGGGGGTGTCCGGGGGGGCGCAGGGCGGGCGGGCGGCGGAGCGGCGGCCGCGGGGGGGCGCGGGGGGCGCGGCGCCCCGTCCCTCCCGCCCTCCTTCCCTGCTCCCTCCGCCTCCTGCCCGCGCTCCGCTCCGCATGGAGCGGCCGCGGAGCCCGGCATGGACCTGCACCTGCGCCGCCTGCGCCAGGAGCTGGTGAGGCCGGGAGGCGGCCGGGAAGCGGCTGGGAGGGAGCCCGGGAAGCGGCCGGGAAGCGGCCGGGATGGAGCCCGGGAGGCGGCCGGGAAGCGGCCGGGATGGAGCCCGGGAAGCGGCCGGGCAGCCCTTTGTGCGGGCGCTCGGCGCGGCCGCGGCTCCGCCGGGAAATGGCTGCTCCGGGGGTCCCGGCTCCGGCTCCGTCCCGGCTGGCGGGCGCGCGGGACCCCCGGGCAGGGCGCGGGGACACGGAGCCGCCCGCGCGGGGCCGCCTTTGTCACCGCTCGGGAGCGCGGGGCTCGTCCCGCCGCCCGGGACGGCGCCTCCAAAGCCGGGAAAGGGGCAGGGCGGGCGGCAGGACTTGCTGGGCGCGCAGAGAGCCGCCCGGTCAGGGCTCGACGGGAGGGGGACCCCGGACGARCGCTGCACGAAACGCAGCGTTCCCGCGGCACAGCCCGGCGCGGGGCGCGGGCAGCGCCGAGACAGGCAAAGTGCCCGGGATGAGGGTCCGGGATGAGGGTCTCCCTGTGCCCGGGATGAGGGTCCCTTGTTGCCGGAGCCCTCCTGCTCTCCCACTTGCTCTCCCGCTTGCTCCCGGCGGAGCAAGGAGCCGAGCGAAGCCGAGCGCGAGCGGCCGCTCTGCTTCACCCCGCGCTGGGAAGGGGGCTGCAAGGGGGGACGGGGCCGCGGAGCCGGGGGGCTCGGTGCCCTCCAGGGGCTCGGCGCCCTCCGCGCTCTCACCTGCAGCTCCAGGGAGCTGCAGCTTTCAGTTACTGAAGGCGGGACCGTGTTAATTAAAACAACCGCAGATGATATCCTCAGCAATAATCGGTTTAAAGCAATCAATGCTGTCCAGCCAGCGGGGAATGAAGATGGATGAGTGTTTGCCCAAAGCGGCGGGAGCGGCCGCGGGGCAGCCGGGCGCAGCTGCTGCGCGGGCAGGGGGAGCGGAGCCCCCGGCCCGGCCGCCCTCCCACTGCAGCCACCACCGCAGCTCCTGCCTGTGGATTTAAATGCYCCCGAACCGGGAATCCTGGTTCCAGGGGCATCAGGACTCGGCCTGACGCCCCGCCAAGCTCCCTTGGATAAATGTGGGCCATCGCGGGCGGTGAGAAAGCTGCGATCCCGAGTGCGTGTTTTCCATGGCAAGCGGATCGCTGCTGGCACGTGCGGCATCCCTTTGAGCGGGAGCCATTGAGAAGCTTCCGCACACAAATGCTTTAAAGCCCGGGGAGTCTCAGCTGACACAGCCGCTCATTGTAACCGAGTACGTGAGCGGGGAACAGCACCGGGGCCGGGGGGTCCTTGTCCCGGCGCTGACGCCAGCCCCAACGCCCTGGCAGYGTCCTGCCCCTCGGCAGCTTTGCTTGTAGAATAAAGGAGACCTTATCCGCCTCCTCGGGGAAGAATCTTGACATTTACGGACAGAGTGGGGAATGTGAGGATTCTCATTGCTGGGTTGCAGGCGCTGAGCACGCCGAGCTGCTCCACTCGGCTGCCTTCGCATCGCGATGGTCAGGGATGCCAGAGAGCTCGAATCTGCCATCAACACAATTCAATCCAATCCTAAAAGTCCCTTGACTTTATCAGCTGGATTCTAGGTCTGCAAACATCATTCTGAGGCAYAGAAATGTGACCTCAGCTAAAAGATCCGATTTAACGAGAATTGTCTTGCACGGGGATTAGAACGGAGGAGTTTCCTTTCCGTGGGTCACGCTGTGGATGTCATTACCTCTGTAAACAGGGATCGTTTGCATTTATACATAGTAACATCAGCATATGTACAACAGGATTGGGTTTTCAAGGCTCTTCTGCAATGGGAAGAATAAATCATTTATTATTTATCTAGAGACTGCTAAATCTTTGGCATGGATTTATCCTACACTTGGGGTTTGCATGGCTATAAGGGGTGAGGGGTTGCATCAAGCTAGCCACAGCTGTGCCTTTACTTTGCACACTTGGACCTTTCTGAAGGAAGCTATGGAAAATCCAGGCTTTGCACTGGTTCTTCTAGGAGAAAAACTATTACAGCAAGGCTTTTTATCCAAAGCACCACTTGAACTTTGGAACATTCTCCCTACACRTTCATCACGCACCAAATGGTTGAGTTTGATAGAGAGCCTGTCTCCCTTCCCAAAATAAAYCACATTCTGGTAGACGGTCCGATGCTTCTCGCCGGGAACGTCCTGCAGGAGCAGAGAGCGTGGGGCCTGAGCGGGGAGGTTCAGCCGCCCGTGTCACCCTCCGCCTCCCGCTCCGGTGGCCGTGGCCGCGCTTTGGAAGAGCCCTGCTCTCCTCRCCCTCGGAGCCGCCTTGGGCGGGCGCCTCCGCCGCGCCCCTGCTCGGCTCCCTCCGGGCACGGATCCACTCCCGCGCTCCGAGGGCTCCGGGCGTCTCCAGGGCTTCCCGGAGCCTTCTCCTTGGTGCCGCCGGGAGGGAAGGGGCTGTGGAGCCTCCAACCTTGGATTTCCTGTCACACGTAACCTGGGCACAGCAAAAAGCCATCAYGGGCTTTTGTTTGCTCTTATTCCCYGAGAAGACTCCGGAGGAAGCGCGTGGATTCCTCTGGAATTGCAGCTGCACGTTGGAGAACTTCAGGCCCAGGTAGCGCAGGGCGAGCAGGGGCTCGAGCCTCCGGGTTTCTCCCTCCCCTTCGAGAGCGAAGCCAGTTCAGGTGCAGGCGCAGGCAGGAGGGAAGCGCTGGGCCGCCAAGGGCTCTCGCTCAGGAGTTAAACCCGGCCACAAATGTGGACTCGTTAAAGATTAATCCCCTCAGCCACCCAAAGGAAGACACGGCAACAATATGATCAGCTCAGCAGTCCTAAAATAATTTTGGTCGCTCTTATGTCATCCTCTTTAAATACCACTTGTTTGTTGCTGGGTCTGTTGCCTATCAGCACTATTATTACGAGCWGCTATTTGCCATTTGCTCTTTCCTGTTCTCTTAGCAATCACTTCCTCTCATTGCACTGCTTTTACCTAAGACCTGGACATCTGTCTTCCTCCTCCTCCTCACCACGAACCTCTCCGAGCTCCTCTTGTCTGGCCCCAGCGCTCGGGGGTAGCTCTCCTGTCTCGCTGGCCCTTCTCTTCCCCCCAGTCAGCATCAAAAAGCTGCTGGAGTCCCGGGCAGGCCAGATGTGCAGCGGGACTGGGAATGAAACCGACGGCGGCTCCAGGGCTGGGGGGAACTGAGCTCTGGGGCTTGCTGAGTGCAGATGCTGGCGGGAAACCCTAAGTTCCTGGCGGGTGTTGAAAATGTATTTATTTTCCTCTCGGATAGGAAGTGGCAGGTGAAATGTCCCCTTTGCGCATGCCCCAGSCGCCCGGCTCCGAGTGTGATCGAGGGCTGCGGGAAGGAGGTGCCCGCTGTGCGCAGAGGCACCCGGGGCACCTGGGCACGTGGGGTGTCTGCAGGCCCCGCACGAAGCGCTTCTGGCTCCGGGTGCTCCATCGGGAGCAGCCCTGGCTCCCTGCTCCCTGCCTGGGATAGGGATCTGCCGTCCCTGCGGGTCGGACGCTGCCCGCTCTGGTGGCCCCAGCGGCTCCCCAAGCTGGCCCCGTGTGAGCAGACTAAGCCACAGGGCAATTGTGGGTGGCTCTGGGCTCTCCATGGCTCCGTGAAGCCCAAAGCATGTCCAGTGAAGCACCCAGAGCTGCCCGACCCGCTGCCGCCTCTGCACCCGTGGAGCTGGACACCGGCCCGCGGAGGGAAGGCGCTCGCGACCACGAGCCCCTCGCTGAGCAGCCCGGAGCCCTGCAGCCATCGGCACCTCCCTGCCCTCCGCTCTGCAGCACGGCAGCTCGCTCGGCTTGTTCAGCAGCGGGGCTGGGATTCGGAGCCCAGAGCACACGCGAGGCAGAGCGTGGCGCCGCTTGCGTAACGGCGCTTGCATAACCAGCGGGCGCAGCCCGCGCCTCGCGCCACGGCACGCTCGGGCTCTCTGCGGCTTCGCGGCACATTCACGCTCTGTTTGCAACGGCACTTCTGTTCATCACGACTTCTGGTTCCCGCTACACAAAGCGCGTGCCCAAAGAGGCAGCGGGGCTGCCGGGGCTCCTYGTTTCGCCTTCGCGCCCGTCACCTTCCAGTCAGGGCTGCGGTTCCGCTTCCCGCCCCGGCTGCAGGATCATTTGCAGTCTTTGTAGTCACATTTCCCCCCAGCAGCCCGGATCGCTTAACCTCGACCCTTGCCAGGGAGCTGGTCCCTTCTCTCAGTTGCTCAAGGTGCTCGGGAACACCTCGGATGCCCGGGCATCCAGACTCTCGCTGGGAAGCAGGAGGGAGCGGGAAGAGCTGCCGGGCGGCGCGTGGGACGCTCTGCGCAGCCCCGTCCCGACCGGAGCCCCCATCCCGGCGCTGCGGCCCCAACGAGGGGCCCCACCGCCTTCCAATCCAGCCCCTCGCAAAGCCCCAGATAAAGCAGATGCCCTTAATAAGGCGGGCAAGGTTAGGGAGCCGCATTACTGCAAAGCTGGACGTAAGGTGATAGTTCTGTCTGCGGCGGGCGCAACATATGGCCTGGGCTCTCGCAGCGGAAACCTGAGCGCTCCGTTGTGTGCACGGGGCGAGCATTTGCATACGTGCAGATGTAGAGCTTTACTTGCTGAGGTTAATAAAATTAGAGAGTCGGAGAGGCTTGATAATGGAATCAGAGCTGAGCACAGATCTTTTCCAGACTGTCGGAGCCGGGCTGTTCGTCTGGGGAAATCGGCCTCTTTCTTAGGAGGGAAGCTTGGAAAATCTTTGCAAATCGGGCGCTGGGCTTTGCGGCGGAGCTGGAAGGTTTCGTGCAGAAGCTGCCACGTTGGGCAGGCTGCTTACGCAGGATCACAGGTCTGGACGACTGTGATCAGGCTCCTTCTGCCGGCTCAGACCTCGGCAAGGAGACGGCCAAAGAGCAAATAATTCAAGTAACGGAGCAAAAATGAAGGCGAGGGCAGAACAGACGGCCTGGCAACGCAGAGCAGAACGTGAGGTGCCTCTGTCCTTCCCCACGAAGAGCTCTGCCCTTACGCAGAGCCGCGACAGAGCCCGAGAGCCGCTCGGCGGCAGCAGCCCCTGCAAGGAGCCGTCCCCGCTGCAGCCCTCGCCGGCTGCTGCCCTGCCTTCCTCCCCACGGCCCCGCTGCTAAAGGGGAGCGGAGCCGGGACCAGGAGCCGGTTCCTGCACAACSCCGGGAGCAACCGCGGGAAAGCCAAGAGGGGCCCTCGGCAGCTTTGCAAACCAACAGGCGTGTTTGGAGTCTCGCRCAGAAAGTTAGAGCCTTATTGCACATTTTACGGATGCAGCGGGGCTGTTACTAATGGTCTTAGTCGGGAATCAGCAAGATTGCTTTCTAGTGGAAATAATTTCAGAGGTTGTTGATTGCTGTTTTTAAAAAAAATTAAGTGCATTTGAATTTATTTGATTGTCCTCTGGGTGCGAGATGCCTGTAATTAGAGCACTGGAACCTTCAGACGTATTATATGGTAACATAATGTGATTTTTATTAGTGCTGATTATTTCATTTTTGCGTTTTAGCGCTGCGCTGCAGAGCGACATTCCCAGTGACAGGTCTAGCCATTATCGCGGCTCCTCATTCCAGGGAGCTGCACAGCACAATAGGAACAAAAGCGGCAGCAAACGCGGAGCGGGAGGCAGCCCGAAGCCTCCTCCGTGCTCCGCCTTGGGCTTCTGCCAAGCAATTAACAGAAACTCAAATAAACAATTTGTTTTTGTCGTCAGGTCAGAAAACCCACTACTTCTGTCGGCTCCGCTTATTCCTGAAGRGTCCGGGACGTTTCCGGGCCGGGCGCTGGAGGCTGCGCGTCGCCGCCGGCCTCCCCAGCTCTAACTCGGCCTCTCCTCTCCCTCCGCAGCTGTCCATGAAGGAGGTCGGGGACGGGCTGCACGAGCAGATGAACTGCATGATGGGCGCCCTGCAGGAGCTGAAGCTGCTGCAGGTGCAGGCGGCGCTGGAGCAGCTGCAGATATCGGGCGGCCGGGGCGCGGAGCAGCGCGTGGCCCCCGCTCGCCCCGACAGCGGCCGCCGCAGGGGCGGCTCCTCCTCCTCTTCCTCCTCGTCGCGGGGCTCCCGCGATGAAGACGCTTGTCCAGCCCACGGCCCTTCCTCAGGCTCGGGCAGAGCCGAGCGGCTCCGTGCCGGGACGCCGGAGCCAGGTGGGAATGCCTGGGATGGGGCGGCGGGGACGCCGGGACACGGGCAGCGCCAGGGCGGCGAGGACGGCCACGACTGGACATCCTCCCTCCTGTGCCAGAGCAGGACCCGGCAGCCGCTCGTGCTGGGGGACAACGTCTTTGCGGACTTGGTCGGCAACTGGCTGGATCTGCCGGAGCTGGAGAAGAAGGGGGAAAGGAGCGAGGCGCCGCTGGCTGTGAGCAGATCCCAGGAGCTCTGCAGGAAGTTCTCCCTCACCGCCAACATCTTCAAGAAGTTCCTGAGGAGCGTCCGACCTGACCGCGACCGGCTGCTCAAGGAGAAGCCTTGCTGGCTCCCGCCCGAGGACAAAGAGCCGGAGATTTCCAAGAGACCCAGGAAACCCAGCAAGCTCAAAGGGACCTTCTACCTGCCGCTGCACGGGAACACGCTGGGCAGCCACAGCAAGGCGGAGAGGGGCCCACGCACGGACAGCGGCAGCGACCAGCCCCAAACCGGCACCAAGAAAGTCCCCGAGAGCATCGAGTACCCTGCGTGCGGCTTCGACATTAACACGGCGGTCTGGGTGTGAGCCGGGCGCTCGCACGGGGCCRGTGTGCACGGGAGACGGGCAGGGGCCACGCCGAGCTCCTGACCCGGGCCGAGGGGCGAACGGCTCCTCCGGGCGGCGTGTTCCGCAGCGGGGCTGCCTGGGGCTCCAGGAGGCCACGGTGTCCGCGGCAGCTCCCGGGGCGCCGAGGCCGCCGGCAGGAGCCCCTGGAGCCACCCCGTGACCAGGACTCCGGACCCGGCCAGGCCCTCGGGAACAGCGGCAGCACCTGAAATCCACTGTGTGTGCACCTGTGTATGTTTGTTCAAATATATATATATATATATAATTTTTTTAAACCTACTTCTACTGATGTGCACTTAAAACGGGGTTACAGAACAGGCGATCCGAACGATGACCTCATAGCGCTTGTTATTTAAGTTGAAAGAAAGAAAAGCCTGACTTTATGAGACTGCGGGACTGGAGCTACTGCCGGYGTCGGACGCGGGTTGTGGAGCTTCAGCTGCCTCCTCCGGCGCCTGCCCTTCCCCAGGTGGGTCCCCCGGAGCCGAGTGCTCCCTGCGCTCAATGCAGAGGTTCCTGGGGACATCCCGGGGTTCCTGCCAGGTTGGCTCCCCTTCCAGCCTGGCCGGGGCGTCACGCCAGGACAYGTTGCTGCAGCAGACCTGTCACTGTCCTCTGCATACGCTCTCGTGTCCAGCTCTGCTCTTGRAAGAGCACAGTTCTGGGGTGTCGGGCTCTCCAAGGGCACAAATAAAGCGGCGTCGGTCCCGAGGTGGTGTCACAYGCTCTCTGACAGCGGCAACTGCAGGAATCCTTCCTTTGGGAGGGACAAGGGGCCTCCCGGGCGCTCCCGTTGCGGGTCCCGAGGATGGGGACGTGTCCAGGGCTGCCCCGGGCACGGGGGCACGAGCAGAGGGTCCGCAGCACTTTTGGGGGGGTTCACACACAATCCCATTCCCGTTTTAACTTCCCAAGGCAGGGGCCCGCGCAGCCGAGACACGGACAGAGATTTTTTTCCCTTGGCAATTAAATATAGGCGCGCGGCAGGGCCCGGCGGTGCCCATACAAGGCGAGGAGCGGGGCAGCAGCTGGCAGCCACCTCGGCGCTTTGTCAGGAGCCCGACTTGCAGCCGAGCTTTTGTTCTCCTCCGCTCGGTGCTTAGGGCCAGTTGTTTTCTCTCCCCTTCACTTTTCCAGGGATTTCTYTTCCTTTACGGGTGGCTCACCCTGCTGCTGGCCTTCCTGCTCCGCCAGCTCTTTCTGGAGGATTCCCAAACAGGGAAGAGGAGCATCCCAGCCTTTCCCAGCTGGATTTCCCTCATTTCCCAGCCAGCATCCCCTGGCCCTTCCCTTCCCTCTCTCGGCTGCCGAGCAGGACCTGCTGCTCGGCTGGGGCTTTTCCACGTCGCCTCTCCAGGGATTTCTCCAGGAATGACAGCGTCTTTCTCCGCTCTGTGCGGCTGCCACAAGATAGCTCTCCGTTATTAAGCGTGAAACCCACCTAATTAGCACACAGCCACCGCTAATGAGGCCCTGGCTGCGCTCTGCACCTTTGATAAGAGCAGCTAATAGCAAACCCGGAGCCGTAATTACCCAGCTGGCCGCCCCGCGACGCCGAGCCGGCTCTTTGGAGCTGCACCAATTTCTATTCTTGGGCCGTGCGTGGTCCAGGCCGGATCAAGTGCCTTGCGCTTCCCGTGACACCGATAACAGCCACTCGCATCCCGGCCTTGCGAGGGGGGCGAGGGAAGCTCCGATTCCCTGCGCAGCTGCTCTTCACGCCCAGCAGAAGGTTATTCCCGATAAACACAATCCTGCCTAYGGCAAACGCCTCCCAACACTGGGGCACCAGCGCCAAGTCCCCGCTCTTCCGCAGCCCCCGCACTCCGGCATCCGCCACCGAGAGCCTTGGGGCTCCCCATCCTCATCCTCCTTCCAGGAAAGGCTGCACGGGATCCCCCGGCTCCTCCGCTTCCCATCGGCACCCGCCACGGCAGGGACATGACAGGAGCAGAGACCCACCTCTATACGTGGCATTGAGCAGAAGGGAGACACGGGGCCAGGGAGGTGGCAGAAATAAAGGCTGGAAAGGTGCGGAGCTGCCCATGCCCRCGCGGGCGCCCCGCTCCAGCCCAGATGGCCTCCAGAAGGCTCTCAAATGTGCCCATAATTAATAAGCTCTTGTTTCCAARACCATTTCACAGCTTATTCCTCCGACAACAGGATGGGGCTTCGCAGGACGACAGTGAAGGAAACAGAGGGTCCAGGAAACAGAAGGAAAACAGAGGGGCCAGGCAAGCTCGGGAAGGCGCAACAGGGCGAAGCGCGGCCTGGGCAGGACAAACCGCCCCGTTCCCTCCAAACCCCCCCGTACGTGCAGCGTCCCCCCAGCCGCGCGGCCTCCGCAGCTGCTCGCGGGACTCCTGCCGCGGCGGCGGGGCCGGCGCTCGCGGCTCCCAGCTGCCGCGGGCCCTTTCCAGGCAGCCCCTCGGGTGCCCGGCCCCTCGCGGCAGCTGCGGATTAATGGGCGCTTTGATAGCGGCGCTGCCCACGGCCCCCCCGGCGCCGCCGCCGCTCCCCGGCCGCGCTGTCCTTGCTGCTGGCAAGGCTGCTTCTGAGCACAGCTCTCCTATTTTTTTTATATATATATATATATATATTTATAGAGAATATGTATAGAATGCTCTTGGCCGCAGCGGAGTAGGGCTGGGCACCCCCTGCACGGCCCATTTGGTTCCTCCGCAGGCCTTTGTCAGCTCCCGCTTTCCTTGGGATGCAGACGATGGGCGATCCCGCGGGAATGTTTAATTAACACCATTAACACCATAACACCCACTAGGAGCGGCGGCGAGGTTGGCACCGGGGCTGTCCCCGTGCTGCAGCTGCCTCTGCCCCCGCTCCTAGCGGGTGACAACAAGGCAGATTTTGCTCTGAGCTTCTCGTTTGGCTCCATTAGAGCCAGAGCCTTCTYGCAGGGAGCCCTTCCCCACCAGGGCCGTGCCAGGCACCGGGCAGGGACGCCCCTGGAGAGCCCCAGGACGGGGCTGCTCTCTCCCTTTCCCAGGGAACCTGATACCACAGCCCAGAGCTGCGGCTGCACGAGCACCTACGCGGTCCAGCTGGCGGGAGCAGCAGCCAGGGAGCCAGCCCTCTCCTTCCCAYGGCACGGGCACGTCCCCAGCTGCTCCCACTCACCACCCCGGGGCTTCATCACTTAGTTCTGCCCCCACACTGCAGCTTACCTCGGCCGAAGCTGCCTCAGTCTCAGCCCTGCTTGGGAAGGAGAGCCCCAAAGCTGCTGGCCCACATATGCTAGGTGTGTGCTCCGAAGCGCCCTGAGCCTCCATCCCGCTCCTGCGGAGCCGGGGGCTCATCCCACAGCAGCACCCACCAGAGCCACGACTAGCACTGCAGCCTGTCCGGGGGTTGGCGGAGCCCAACGGCGCCGCAGCAGCTTCCTTGCTTCTGCTATCTCCAACCCAGCGCGTTCTTCCTTGTCCTGGAAAACCCCGTGAGATCTGAGCGAGGAAGGAGTCAAGGCCAAGGTCTCCGTGCTCCTCGGCTGCGGGGACTCGCTGCGTTGCACTGGGAGCAAAGGCTGCAACACGAGAGCAGCTGGAGCTGCGCGGGGTTGGAAAGAGCCCAGTCGCTGCCGGGGCCCATCCTGCAGCCCCAGGGAGCTGGGGCAGCGCCACGGGCTGCCCGGGCCCCGCTCGCTCCTAGCTGCTCCCTGGCACCTCTTTGGCACCTGGGCAAGGGCAGCCGGCTCCAAGGAGGCAGCTCATCCATGTGCACGGAGCTGCTCCAGCCCCAGAGCAGGCGCCAGGAGCGACCCAGCCCTCACCAGACAAYGGGCTCCTTTAGCCCCTCTGCGCACCACAGGCCTAGGGATTTTTATGGCAGAACCAAATCAATACACTTAAATGAGAAAACTTCACTCCCCAGCCAATAAAGCCCGTGTTATCGCTTGTTCAATTAGGGCACTGGGCATACTGACAGGAGAAACAGCTCCCTGCAAGACAGTCATGCACAACCGGGGCTGCTTTTAGTTGCTTCCATGGAAGTTGGGACGTGGATGTGAAGGGACTGTGGAAAACAAGCAGCCCTGTCCACCTCTGCAGTGGGGTGACTGGCCAGATTGCTCCTTGTGCACTGCACAGCACTGGGAGTCACTTACCAAGCTGCATGGGGAGAAATCCATGGGTTTGCACTGTACAGGGCTGCGCCCCTGCCCTGCGCCCYGTCCTGCGCCACCGTCAACGCGCCCGCCGCCCCACGCAGCCCCTGCAAGTCTCCCTCGTTTCAAACAGCATTTATCACAAGGGATTAGCCCCCGGGGGCGCCTGGGCAGTCACATTTAATAATGTACGCTGCTTCAAATCAAATGATCTCTCCTTTGAGCTTAACCCGCTGTAACGCAGCAGCATGATGCTGCTTCCAAAGCTAAATGAAAAACAGTAGCCRTGCACTGGAGCTCTGCAGACCCTCAGGTGTTTAAGCACACACTAGGAACACTGAGGAGAGGTATAAGGGTCCGYGGCTACTTGGCCTGGTGATCTGTAACAACCTGCTGCTTCAGCTGCATTTGCTACAGTGGGACGGCCCCTCTGGCTCGAGCACCGGGCCACARTTCCCAATTTTCTGCAGTCTGGGACTGCACCACGAAACAGCGACTGGCTGCTGAATTCCTGCACCAGTAACTAATTCACATGAAAAACCCAGGGAATCCCAGAGGCACCCAACTCATCCGAGCAGTCCTTCCGCGCAGATTGTTCTTTCTCGAGTCTCACCGAACCTCTCCAAGCGAGACTCGCAGTCTATTCAGGCACCCGTCGCATCCAGCAAAGGAGCAGTCTTTGCACCTAGTGCATTCGGAGAGCACGAGGCAGAGGGAACGTGCGTCAGAGCCGGCTGCGCTGGATGAAATATTCAGAAGGCAGCAGCCGGGAGCGGGGCGAGCCACGTGCCAGAGGGAGCCGCGGGGCTGCTCCGTGCGGAGCGGCGCTTCCCGGCACCGCGTCCTGGCGCCCGCAGGGGCCTCGTTCCGCCTGGGAACGCGGCCTGGGCGCAGCTGCGCCACGGGCGCCTGTTCCCACAGCGCGCTCCCGCGCGGCATTCCCTGCGGGATCGCACAGTTGCTTCCACAGATGTGCCAGGATGCCAGGGCCGCGTGACTTGGCGGAAGGCGCTGGCCGCGAGCGCTCGGGAAGGGCCCAGCTGCACCTAGCGGGGCYGGGGGACCCGAGGGGCCCCGGTGTGCCCGAGAAGCGCCCAGCACAAACAGGGCCACCAGGCTGCCCYGTGGAACCCCGTTTATTCCCCCATAAAAACTAAAAGGAAGCCTCTGCATCCTGCAAACTTCGCCCCACAGCAGAGGGAAGGGAAGGCCTTGGTGAAATACAACTTGGTTTGCTCCCTGCACTCACTCTCACAGAGAGGCACCGGGGTCAGGACGGGAGGGCTTGCACCCATGAGGCTGTCAGGTTTGACATTTAACATTTAACACTCAGAAGCTGCTGCAAATACCCAGAATAATCCCACAGTTTCTTAAGAGAACAACCTGAAAACACCCCTCAGGCATGACAGAAGTTGTACTTTACCTGGAAGATTGTTCACAAATTAGTTTGTACCTCAAGTAAAATACTTGCTGTGTGTGGAACTAGTCAAACCTTTGAAAAACAAGAAATCTTTCTCTCTACAGACTGTTCCATCATCTTAGCAACAAAACAGTAAAACATTCAAAGGTTTATCTTTGCCCGTGCAATTAAAATGTTCACAGAGTGTTTATTTAAGATTTTGCAAAGCTTTTTTTACTTATATGGCAAAACCTGCTGAAGAGCTGGAGCAGCCCGTGCASAGCGCGGCAGGGCCGGCCCCAGCGCCGGGGGCTGCAGAATGAACCATCCCGGGGGGTTATTTATGTCGGGGGGAGGCCGGCACGACGCGGGGCAGCCAGGCCCGGCACATCCCTGTGCAGGGCACACCAGCTGCTGTGTAAAAACCCAGTTTCACAGGCTCACTGAAGGGTGGGATAAATGCAATAGGATGCAGTAGGAATAAGGCTGTTATTCCGAAGATGAGGATTTTATGCTTACCAGAAACAGGGCAATCCTTCACCAAGAGACCYGCACAGGGAGGCGTTGCGATTGCCCCATGCACGTCGCTGCGCTCCTGCTTCCCCCTCCTTGCAACACTTCCCTTGGCATCTCTGCAGGAGCTGTTGGCAATAACAAAGCATTCTTAAGCATCAGATGCAAATCATTAGCAGAAAATTAGTAAGAGATTGTTTTCTGTGAAGATTCCTGTCTGCATTTTGAGCAGTATTAAAACACAGGGCCCAGAAACCTGAAATTCCTTCCCTGTTTTCCTCTCTGCCGTAGCGAGGCTGTGCCGGTGCATCCCGCTCCGGCGGCCCGGCCAGCACCCCAGACCCACTGGTGCTCCCGGCCTCCTGGCACCGCGCAGGGCCGGCCCAAACCCCCAGCGCTGCCCGGAGCAGCGGCCGCTCCGCAGCCCAACGCAGTCCAGCCCCTCCGGTTCCCAGTGCTGGCAACACAAACCAGACCCACGTTAGTTCTGCACCGGGCTTTGCATTAAGGTCCTTGTGCTCCGGCTGCACACGAGGCCCCTGTGCACCACCGTGCAGCTCCAAGGAGCAGATCCAGCGCAGCAGGATCGGGGCCCTCCCCGAGACAGCCTGACAGCCCCTCGCGCAGCTCCCGGCGCTGCTGTGCACTTGCATTACAATCAAACTTGCAATTAGAACTCTCTGGTAAGGCAGATCCTACAAGATTAGGCAGTTATCATCTGATCTGACATTAGACGGGAAAACATGTTTCAAAACCTTTACATAACACAGAAAATGAACAGATAAGTACGGGCTGATGAAGTTTGAAGAAGGGCGCACTTGCAGAGACAGCAGTGAATCACATAGGCTGAATTTGTGCATAACAACTCAAATGGGTGGAATTACATCCCCAATGACTCTGGGGTCTGCGTGGCTTAATTGAAATTTCAAATGTGCTCCTTTCCTAGCAGCAAATGTTGCTTTATATGCTTGGATGCGGGTCGAGGCAGCAGCCTGCAGCTCCCCTTCCGGCAGATTTCTACTTTAACCTCTCTTAGGACATTCTCGAGTAAATCCATATTGCAACCAGTGAAACGTTAAACATCACATGCTGGGGGATGATTCTCTTTGGAAACAAGACTAAGTAGCATATGCTGGAGTATATCTAAGGGCAGAATTTGGGCTATTGTGCTAAAATCCATTAAATACAAAAATAATACCCACTGACATGGCAGATTCATTGTATAACACACAAAGCAAGAGCACCCAGGGCAGACCCTTCACAAACAGGGCCATCTTCCCAAGGCCTCTGCTCTATCCCCCGCGCCSTGGCAGCCTCGGCTCCTTGCAGCACAGGGCACCGGTGCCAGCCAGCACTCCTTGCAAACTGTTTATATTCTTACTTAGCTGCAGTAATTAAAGCAGCTCTCCATCTGCTCCCGCTTCAGTTGGCTGTTGTTGGCAGACACCACCACCTAGTGGCAAGCCAAGATATATTTAACTGCTACGAAAACCTCTCTTCTCTTGTCCCAGGGCTATTTTCTATTTTGCAGYCCAAACACCACAGCACCAGCTCCCCCCGTCCCAGTAAGGCAGCACTCACCCCAGGTCTCCCCTGCTCTCCAACTTGAGCCCTTCCCCAGAAAGGGGCTCACACCACCCAGTTGGGATTAGGTTTCTACTTTCATAGAAGAGACATCTAATAATAATCATTAAAATTACTTTATTACTAAAATATTTTACATTTAGTAAAGATAACAAACCTGCAAACACCATGCTTCTGCTCCTCCTGAGAAACGAGGCACACACGCAGGTTGAAGGCAGCCAACTAAGCAACTAGCAGTTGTCCTACTAACATGTAAATAGGCAGATGTTTTCACATTGCCATCCAAATATTTAGATCCAGTCTCCTCTGGGCTGCATTTAGAACCTGGGATCTGTTCTAATGCAACAGCTGCATCAGTAATAGCTTTGGAAAAGAGAGAAATTTCTCACACCTGGTTTCCAATAAAACTACAGAAGGGATCCAGGCCATTCGGGACAAAGTCCATCCTGAGTTTTCTCCACTGTGATGATACTGTTCTTCTCACTTAACTCTGAAGCGAAGCAGGAACGAGCTCTCCAGCACCGACGCAGTCTCAGCAGTGCCAAGCTGAAGATGCAGTTTGGGCCCAGCAGGTCCCCAGAGCGGTGGTGGCTTCACTGCTGTGCACAGGAGGCTTGGGGCTGACCACCCCCAGGCCTCTTCACACCCTGCTCTTACCTCTAGGAATTGAAAAAGAAAAAGCTGGAGGGGAAGAAGGGGGTAGGAAATGGGGTAACATCCAGAATTAAGAGAAAACCCTTTGGGCTCACTGTGTAACTCGGGTAACACTAGGCAGGTGTAGAGCAGCTGTTTGCTTTGGTGGAACTATTTACTCGGAACCAACTCTCCACTGCAGTTTCGTTTTGAGATGCTGATGGTAACTTGTGCCCTGCAGAACAACATTGACAAAACAGGGGGTCTGCCACTGACGTGTGTAACTGCAAGAAACTGAAGAGCATAGCAAAAGTCAGACCTTGATATAGCATTAAAATAACTTTGTACATATTAAAGAGGAAATCTTTTCAACAGAACACCATCTTTAAACAGTCAAATAATGTACAAAACTAAGAGTATCCTTCTGTACTTGTGTGTGCAGTATGATTTCTACACCCAATAAGGAGTGACGTGAATGTGAAGACATTTCACTGGTATGACACRTTCCTTCATCTACCAGAACGGAAGGGAATTCACAAAACATTTATAAAAACAAAGCCTGGAAACAGTAACAAAAACACAGAAACAAAATGAAAATGTACTAAAATTTAATCATTCATAAAAGCTGTAATTTAATCTGTGACAGTAAAACACAAAAAGCAATATTAGAGTTGGTTTAGTATATTATATATTTCTGCTTTTAAAGCCATAGAAATCAGTTACCCCATTTTTTCCTATAAAAGACCCATTTTTCCAAAGCATTATGCACAAACATTTTTAATTAGAATATAATGGCAGAATGAAATAATGATATTCCATAACTTTTAAATATAAAATGAAGTCAATGACTCAAAGTTATTTGTTGCAGTGAGTTCAAAGGGAAATCTCAGATAATATATATATATATCTATGTAGTTATAGATATAAAATATAATGGTGGAACATTTTTAGTGCTTGATGGGGAGAAATTATGATAAAAAGGTCAATATGAAATTTTAATTATAGTAGCAATACCTAACATTTGAAATGCATCCATGCTCCTTTGTATAATTATACACTAGAGTCAATTATATTTATTTTCACATCTGTTAATTGCTATTGCAAAGGAGAAATACTATAGTCTTAAATTTCCAAGAGATATACACAGAGCAATTTCGTTTTCCAGGGACTGTGTGCAAACCATTTTAAGATCTAAATTCTTCTCATAGTATACAAAAACAGGAGAAGCTTCCTCAGATATGCTGTTAATTTCTGTAAGGTTTTGAAATCTGGAATGCTGGCACTTTCCATTTAGGCAACAGTTCTTCATTCCTGCGATCTAGAAAAAGCAAAAGGAGACGATGGGGGAAATATTTCTCATGCTCGAGACAAACGAATCTGAAAGAAGGCCTGAACGTTTCCCCAAATAACTGCCCACAAACATGCTTGTAAAAACATGCAGCATTTCAGCAGGAAAAGGTTATCTTACTTCATTATTATGATTTGTTCCTACTGTCCTTTGAATTCTGAGGTACAAAAAGAAAAAAAAATCACTTTGGAGACAAACTCATTCAGAAGCAAGTTCTTGTTTTACCATGAGTGCACAAAGCAGTAGGAGAGAGCTGAAAGGCACGTGAACCTAAAGCATAAAAACAAGAGCCTGCAGGTTACTACTGGCTCCAGTTGTCCTACACCTAGGCTAAGCCAACGTGCACCTAGGCCATGAGCCTCAGAGGGCAGAAGGGCARAGAACCCTGCAGTGATTTGCAGTTCTCCACATTTCTGAACGTTCCTTCCTTCTGTGCCAGAGGCTGTTGCCCTTATCCTGGGTGYCTTGCCACACACTTGGTGTGCCCATACCAACGGCTCCAACCTACGCTGTATTCCTGGGAAAACCTGGAAACCTGCAGTTACAGAAATGCTGTCTCCCTTCAGGAGTGCTTTACAGCAGCTGTAAGCACACAGCGTACCCTGCCAAGATACACAGGAAGATTATTTATAGCATGTCTCCAACCTTGGGCTTCTTTTTTTTTTTTTTTTTTTTTTTTTTTTTTTTTTTTTTTTNCTTCTCTGCCATTGAGATCTATGTCCCACCCACAGAAAGTCACAATTGTCCTCAGGTCACCACGCCAGCAGCTGCAACTGCACCACGTTGCACAAAGGCTACTAAAATTCAGAGGGGAAAGAGGAAGTAAAACTGAGCCAGGGCTGCTGAGCCCTCGTGTCACAAGACGCAGGGAGATGCTCCCAAGTGCAGGAAACCCTTGGCCAGATCCCTCTGTGACCTGATGTTACTAGTGAACCCAAGCAAATGAGAAAGAGAGAAACAAGTTGAACTGTTTTCTGCTAGGTCAGTGAGAGAAACTGCCTTCCAGAAACATCCAAAAGCAACCGACCAGGAAGGGATCTTATAYGGGAGCGAAGGGAAGGAAGAGGGACAAGACCCCATCAATGAGGATGAGTTCATCTCCAGATTAACCAATCTGGACAGCTCTTACCTGGCTCAGAGCTGCTGCGCGATGGGAGTCTAAAGCAGCAGACATGATTTCTTTTTAGGCTTCTTCTTTTCCACTGGTGTTTTTCTATTTATCTGTCTGACCAAGTCATAAAAGATCTGGAAACAAAAAATGCAAACTGAAAATCAAAACACTATCAAAATGTCAAAAACCAGACAGGCTGACAACTGGAACTCTCATGGTGATGCAGTTTTCTATGTTCAAACTGATTGTATTGATCTCAACATATTTCTCWAACAGCTGCTCGTAAGACAACAGAGCACAGTGTTCATATGAGCATGCAGAAAATAAAGCTGTAAACTCATATTTGCTCTTCCCTGACCCTTCAATCTAYGTGCCCCCTTCAGGATACAAGCAACAAAACCTTCAGCAGAGCATGGGGGGAAATGCAGCAAATCCTTTGCTTTGGAAGAAAGCTGGGAAATGACAGAACGGACTTTTCCAGAYTGACCTAATATCTGTATGGGGGATCCCTTCACAGGTGGTTGCTAAACGGATGAGCATCCCTGCCAGCAGCAGGGTTTGCACTGTCTTTACACACAGCTCCCACCTTCAAAAGCAGTTTTCCATCAGTAACCGCATGGGAGGTGCTATTAGCTTTCCTATTTGCCATATGGTTTGGAGTTGGTAATAACTTACTCCACCTTTCTGCTGATTCAATCTATTGTTTTTTAATAATAAATTTGCCCAGGAAAAGCAATATATCTACCATGGACTCCTGACAGTTCCAGAAGGGCTTGATTACAGGGGCCTCTCAAGTCAGAGATGAATTTTGTGCAAATGCTTTCACAATGAGTYGGTTTCCCAGCAATACATTTATAAGAAAAGCTTTGCAAAGATGGAGCTATTTCATGGTATTGAAGAGAAATTTTTAAACTTTCCAAGAGCCCCACCCTCCATTCCTTGTTTACTTTCCTCCTTCCTGGAGTGGCTGCTGGCTCATAAATTCTTGTTGATATCAAGGAAGTTCAAATTAAATGAACTATATCAAACTGCAACTGAAAATTAAGAATTTTTCCAAGTATCACATGAAAGGACTAGCACATAGCACAGCTATTCCAAGTAATACATTGTTTRGTTCATGGTTTGTTCCTTCTCTTTGATTTTCTCAGCTTTTGATTTTCATAAGCAGACAGTGTAAAGTCATCCTGGTGTTATCTCCAGTTTACAAAAGTACAGGATCTGTGGCAAAACATCCTTTGTGCCTTAGCTACCAGGAGCCTTGGAAGTCAGAGTACCTTGAGGCCTTAACAAGTTTAAAACAAGCCATTTTGTGACAAGGTGACAACGAAACAGCCACGGTTAACAAAGGCCCCGGTGATGCAAGAACTCAGCACATATTGGACTAGAACACGAAGATCACAGAAACCTTCCAGAGCAGCATTTTCTTGTGCACGGTGCCTCTCCCTGAGGCAGTTGCCATCCCAGGAAAACAGACGCTCACACATTACACTAYGTAAAACCCACGAGTGGCCGTGTGTGCCTGTCACAAGCCAGCTCACCACGCTGCCCACCAGCGGGAATCTCTGGGCTGGACACCTCTGGCTAACAAGATCAGTCTTTAGCAGAAATTGKGGAAACAGAGCAAATTTCTTTCTGTAACATGGCATGATCTGCTCAGCAGCTTTGGCCACCAGTTTCTTTGCTAACACAGTTTTGATAAAGCACAGATAAAAGGCAAGGAGTTACTCTTTGCAGCATGAGTCCAGCTCAGCGAGCCATATTCACCAGGTTAGGTCAACGTGCACGTAGCTAGGCTGCTCCCCAGCATGGGAGCTGCAGCTCACGCAGCTCGGAGTTGCCTTTCCTTTCAACCTGATGGATGAGGTGCTGGGCACTTCCCCAGAGCTGCCAAATTAATTCTGGGTCCAATCCAAAACCCCACTGCTTCTCCTTATCACACAAGCCTCCTAAATGGGCTCAGTTATCTCTTGGCAACAACCCAGCTCTGCTCAATGGAGTCACCTTAGTGTTTGTGACTGAAAAACTGGCCTCTATCACAGTCAGAAAACTCACATGCAGACTAAGGGCTTGGTGCCCGGTGTCAAGCAGAGCTCCATTAGCAGAACCACACTGCCACAGAGTACAATAAGAGGCACACCTATTTGCAAAGGTGTTTCTCAGCTCAGCACAGGGACTGCTCAGGCATATGTTTGGACTCAGTTTCAGTAAATTAGCAGCTTACCAGAGAAGAACTGTGATGGGATGTCTGTTTGAGCAGCCAGATGTAGCAGGAATGTGAAAAGCAAACACTTTCAAACACAACAGCCAAGAGCGTGCAACACGACAAATAATACAATGGGGCACAATCCACGTTCTGAATAGCAGGACTTATCTTAAACTTTAGCTGAAAAGGATATCTTTTTATCTCAGGTARGGGTCATCCAGGGAATTGCACTTACTCAGCACCTTCTGCTATTTATGCCCTCTAACACAGACTGTACAAAGCCTTTACCTGGAAAGGTCTCCCACCCTTTACATATAAAAAGAGCAGATTTCCTTACAGCAAATCACCACTCTAAATAGACTGCATCCTAACACTTCCTTAGGTCGAGACTCCAGAACAATCCTGAATCTTCAGGAGCAGCAAAGACAAGAGAACAGCTGACAGTTACCTCATTAACATTGATTTTAGACTTTGCAGATGATTCTAGGAAGGCACAGTTACACCACTGTCTTGCTAAGTTTTGACCCTGTTCTTTGCCGACTACACGCTCTTCTTCCAGGTCACATTTATTGCCGACCAAAATCATTGGAACCTGGAGAGGCGAGAAAGAACAAGAGGTATTAGCGAAACTCAATATATAACGCGGACCACTCAAACAAAACTATAGTTCACAAAGACCATTTCTTCCAAATGTCTGGTATTTTCTACAGGGTTGACCAGAATCCATCCTGCAGCCACCCCGGCTCAGTAACAGCTAAACATATGAAGGACAGCCACAGATATTTCAACAAAATCCTAAGTTAAGAAGTATCTACCTTCTGGTATTTATATCTAACACTGTTCTACTAAATATCCCTCAGCTTGGTATTATCCACCAAATTAACTTATTTCAGGCAGCAGTGTATAAAGCATGTGCCTAGAGATGCACTGTTTTGGCCCTTTTTACACCTATGTGCATTTTTTTAGCTCAGCAAAGCATAACTTAAATGTTCAAAAAGTTCCCAAACTTGGATTCAACAAGTAATATCCTGTTACCACAAAAATTAATAAAAGCATTTTAATAACTAAATCAAAGAACCAAAGTAAAAATTTAAGTAACAGTCTCCACTGTCTGTGAGCTTGCCCAGCTTACAGTGCAAATTCTCTTGCAAACTGCACAGCTGAGTGAGCAGTGCAGGGCTTTGACCTAGAGGCTAATAAAAGAATCATGTAACCAGGGATTTAGGCAAACATAATCCCCACATAAATGAAAAACAGTTTTACATAAATAGAAGTCCAGCCTGTTAAACCAAGGAGGGTACCAGAACCCTAAACCACAAGGTAATCAAGCTTGAAGAATGAGGAAGATCAAGAGCAAGGATAAACTGCAGGAGACTACCCTCAGTTTCGGAGCACATCAAATGGGGGCTGTGCAGTTCCAGAAGCATTTCCCTGAACAGCTACTTAAATKCAGTGTACATGCTTTACCTGTGCTTTGGCCTACATGTGTGTCCTAGCCCTGTTTATTGACCATCATCACTCCTAATTGCAAAAAAAGAAAATTGTAAGATTTCTTAAAAAAAAAAGAATAAAGTCTCTTCATGGGGGTTTACATTCTCTCAGTAATGAGGCTGAGCACCTATCCTCCACTTGACAGGTCCCTGGGATAGTTACTGGAGAATTATGGCCTCTCACAGTTGGAGCTGATTTGTGATCTCTGCTTTATTCAAGCAGCTATACAAACCAAACCAGCACAATTATTGTAGTGGGTTCTACTTCATTCAGTAAGACCAGAGCTATTTAACAAACCGTTAAAAGGTTCAACACTTCCCTTGCTATTGACAGAGCTGAAGCAAAGGCAAGTGAACAGCCCCTGCCCTCTCAGTCCTTACTGACACCTCCCACTTACACAGTGGCATGAAATGCACTAGCATGCATTTCATGCAGTGGCATGAAAAGCCAAAAGCATTCCTAGGAAAAGAATTTTTGCTCATGTACAGGTACCTCTGTTTACTTACAATAACACTTGAACCATTTTCACAAAGTATTTTACTTACATCTTCAGTGTCCTTAACCCGTAAAATCTGTTCCCGCAGGTCCTGTAAGTCATTAAATGTGGACTGTGCTGTAATAGAATATACTAGTGCAAACCCTTGACCATTCTTCATATACAGATCCCTCATTGCTGTAAACTGCTCCTGTAAACAAATATTAAAAAAAATAGTCAGTTAGCCATTAGACATTTTGTAGTGTTTTCATTTATTGTCTGATCCAACATGATTTCCCCAGACAAAGGGGATTGTAAATGCAGTTTCTCCTCTAATACAACCCTGAAGAAGGTCTAGGTATCACACATCTTCATGCCTCATTGCAGCATGATTCTGTGGGAAGCAAGCATCAGACCACTTCAACATGCTATCTAAAGCATGAAAAGAGCTTCAAGGTTCAATGCAATAAGGACAGAACTGCAAGAGCAAGCTCTAAGACCTGTACTAGGTTGCTGTCTTTGGTCCAGTTACTTTCACAGAAACTGTGTAATTAAACATCCTGTTTCTGTGCCTTTGTATTATTGTCAGTGAAGTTCAAAGCTTTCCAAATCAAATAGTAACTGCATTTTAGGAAGCACATACTCTCCCTGTGATGTTCACTCTCCTATTACAAGGTCTATTTATTTACTGTCCTGCAAAATCCTATTCAGTAAAGTGACATTTTTACTTTAAATGGCAAGGAGAGTTTCAAGGATTTTTGCTGCTATGAGCAGGCAGGATGACAYGAGCCTCCTCAACACAGTAAAAGCAGCATCAGGAAGAGGTCATCTAAGTAGAAGATGACAATTAGAAAATAAGTAGATGATTCTGTGAAAAGTACACAGTTTTTGATGAATTTCTCTCCACATGGACTAATGTGACAAGCCCAGAGGCACTACTGAAGCATGGCCCAGAAGCACCTTCAACTCACATGAGCTCTAGACACAACCTCTTTTCTCCCCATAGGAAGAAACTGCTGTTTGCAGCAAAGTCCTTAAGTGATCTACCTACTGAAGGAAGATGTAGAAGAGGCTAAAAGAGTGCTCATAGAGACTTGGTTTTAAGAGAAGCAGCTGAAATGATTCAGCACTTCAAACTGCCCACAATTAGCTACAGAAAGATGCTATCTTATTGCTAAGTTCTTTTTCTCCTTTCTGCCTTTCCATCCAGCCCATCAACTGATTCTCCTTGGAAAGGATTAGGAGAGTAAGTGCTATTCTTCACACCTCATTCTTAATGGGAAAGCTATGTATCTATTAGAAGAAAAAGTTATAACTTACTGTCCCTGCTGTATCGAGGATTTCAAGCATACACTGTTGACAGTCTACTTCCACTTGCTGGGGAAAGAGAGCAGAGAAACAGTTAAAGTGAAGTCTGAAATAAAGAACTAGGAAAGTGGTATTTCACTTTAGACGTAGAGCAAACGGCTCTAAGCCACTTGCACTTTTCCAACAGTCCAAGAGGCACTTTTGGGAGCGGATAAMCTGCACCCCAGGTTAGACATTTGGGTCATTTCATTTGCGGTCCAGGGCTCTACTGATCATAAAAGCCTAAGTAGCTCATTGCAAACATTTCAACTCAAGTGAAACAAAACCTCACTCTCACAAATTAAAGGGCTTCACTTTTTATTTGCTTGGGCAGAAGAGGGAAGGAGAAAAAGAAATCAATGATTCTTACAGCTAAGGCTTTGTAAGTCTTTATTTGCTAAGAAATGCTGGTGATCAAATAGGGGTAATACCAGAAAAAGCAAATAAATTTAACTACAGAACTGTTTACAGCATTTATACGCAATTATTGCAGGCACAAATAATACAAGTTTTTTGTTTTCTGCCTTTTGTGCCTTTAATTATGGCAACAATCATGCTAATCTGCAAAACAATGGGTTACTTGACATCGGTTTGCRTGAAGAATGCAGCTCTGTGATAGAATTACATAACACCCCAGTGTCAAGGCTTCTGACAAGGGCTTTTGCTCGGCAATTATAGGCCTGCACCCAAAAGGCTGTGAAGATTTTCCAATGTGTTATGCTTGGTTTGAAGGCATATAAACTACATAGTGAAACAGGCATTTCTCAAAGAAAACAACAGAAAGCAATTATGATGCTACAGTAATAAAATCTATGGTGATGAATGATGTACATATATCCTTTGTAACAACTTCTGCAGCTATCAAACATGACAAATGCTGATGTATTTATGTTTTGAAGTATGAGACTTGAAAGAAAATCTTGTTTTACCTTTCTGTATGAATCTTCTATTGTTGGGTCATATTTTTCAACAAATATTCCCTGAACAAACTGTACAGTCTAGGAAAGAAAAAAGTGAAGTCAACATGACCAGTAATATTTATCAAAAGCATCTTATAAAAACCTAACAGCACAAAAATTACTCATCACTAACCATTAATATTCAATTATATGGATCAGAGATACRACATACACAGAGTAAAGCTGTTTGCTCTAGAGGAGATTTTTACTCTCATTACAATTGGGAAGAAAGCACTGCCCAGGCAGCAGTCAAGGAAGCTACAGTAACTGCACTGCTGCCTGTCCAGGGCTTTCGCTCTGTGCTGCTCACCGGGAGGCACAGTCGGTGTCACAGTCACTGTCACACAGGCACRAGGGCTGCGGACAATGGGACGATTTGCAGTGCAACAAACCAAACTGTAACCTAAGCTCTGGTGCAAGCCCAGGGCTGAAAAGAAATACCAGCTTCTTCGTTGGACTCTTCACTTTATATAGTTCAAAAATACATTTAAAGTGACCACTGCAATATTTTAAATCCCATCTTAATGCTTAGAAGTAAAYAGTGACCCTGGTAGCTAAATATTATTCTCACTCACCTGCCAATTGATACTCTGTCCTGCTATGAACATCTGAGATCACCACTGCATATGAATTACAATATACAGTTACAGAGTACCTATGCTGTCAGAAAGGCCTTCAGTTTTGCTTATCAGACCTTTTACAATGATCCCACCAGCAGTGTGTGTGTATATGTATGTGTATATGAACAGCTGGTAATTCCTCCCCTTCCCTGTGATAATGGCAGGGTGTATTTCCTTGTTTTAGATAACTTTACACTTGACCAGCTCTTCACCTTTCTTGCAGCAGAAAGCTGCTTGACTGACACTTGATAAATAGGTGTCAAAAACTCTTAGAACACTTTCCTATCAACTGTGCAMGGTAAGCCCCTTACAAGAAATACTGCAAGCACTCAAGGAGTACAAGTGTGGGTCTGCATTCACCCTTCTGCACTGCAGACACTGGAAGCGACTTGTTCTGCCACTGTGCTTTGAAGCCAGGCTAGCCACCCAGGTTCAGTCCAGGAGAAAGGACTTTCTTCTCCAGAAAAACAACACTACAGTTCACAAATATTTCAGCAGTACAAGGCCAGTTACTGCAAGCCACTCTGCATTTTTAAAAATAACACACACCTTAATGTATTCAACGAGCAATAACTGCAATAAGATGGGTCAGTTTTGAACCCTGTGTATACATATATATTTGTATGAATGAGTTGCAGAACCACTTCCTAACAAACTCACCAAAGCAGACTTGCCAACACCTCCTGAACCAAGGACCACTAGCTTGTACTCACGCATGATGCGGTCTGTTTAAATACCGACAATCTGCAAAACAAGAAATAAAACCAAGAATTAAAAGGCTACCCACACATAGAGATTTACGGCACCATCTCCTGAAGATAATGTTCTAGCTCTTTAAATACACATGACAGCAGAAGTCTCTTTAGTAATAGCTAAGATTTATTTACATTCTTAGTACTCAAATGCAGATGCATTATTCCAACAGCTCCAGTTTATTCCAAATTCCAAAAATAACTTTCAAACTAAAGATTTTGTCCTGCTAACACATTCAAGTACTCAAATGTACAAACTATGTTTGATTCCTATATAGGATCTAATGTTCTTATAGTGAAGTAGAAAAATTGATGCCTTTTTTTTTTTTTTTTTTTTTAATGTGTCATAATGCACCTAAACTATTTCAAAGTTTGCCCTGGAATTCACTTCCTCCTAAGTTTCACCATGCCGGAGCTCAGATTTGCCAGCAATGGAGGCAAATCCTTTGCAAAGGAGGAGGCTCCAGCCATTCTGATGCCGCAGCCTGCGGCGGGTTGCACGTGAATCCACCCGCTAGCAGCRCCGAGCCTTAATCCTGGCTTATGCCTCCTTGCTGCTGCATTGCCAACTTCACAGCAAAAAGCTGCGAGTATTAAACAGAAAAATTAGGTTAGTGAACTACAAGGGCAGAGGTTTGCTTCTCCCACCCACCCCAACAGGGAATGTTTTAGGTCAGTATTTTCTCTCYGGAAAAGGTCAGGCCCAACTCACAGCTGCCAAGGCAGAAACCTCTCTGCTCTTCCCAGCAAAGCCTGTGCCTTTTTATGGAAATCTTTCCACTCCCTGAACTCACCAGGCAGCACCAGAAAATTTCTCAGTCTCTTCAAGATTCCCTGACAAATAAGGCAAATGACAAAGCGGGTGATAAACATTTTACACTATGTTTACATAGGAGCGGGCCCGGGCTCCGTCCCCATCGTCCCTATCGTGGCGCCGGCGCAAACAATGACATCAGCAGCCAGTTATCCGCTCCCGCTCCGAACGCCTTTTCTTCCCAAGTAAGGATTCGGGAACACAAGCGCTCTGAGCTGCTGCTTTCATTCCTCAGACCCTGCAAACCAGCCTTGCCAGGAGAACTGTGAGTTGGACGGTTACAATTGGAAGACTGTTTCAAAAATGAAAGTGTCATTTTATATTCTCATATTTGCTACGAGAAAATATCACCTGTGTTGACTTCTGCTAAAGCAAGTGTGCAAGGAACACAGATCAGGTGTTTCACTTCAGTGCCACTTCTTTGCAACTGTGTCACAAGTCAGGGTTAAAAACTGTGCAGTTAGAGAAAAACGCACATGAATTCCACGGGCAGTTTAAGTCCCAGGTTAGGTCTGGACCCAATTTTTAAAACCCCAGGTCACAACAGAGCCCACCTGCCCCAGCTGGGGCATCTCCAAGTCTGCAGCTGAGCTGGTCTTCCCTCACCCAAATGTCAGAGGGAGGGAGAGGAGCGCTGAAGTCTGCAGCAGTAACCCACAACTTTGAGCACCTTGAAGCTGTTTTTCTTCAACTCTTGAAGTTTGAGCTGCAGTCACTTAACTTCATAGAAATTGAGAAACCAAGTCAGCTTGAAAGGGATTTTCCAGTGTGGTAACTCTYAGCATCTAAAAATAGCCCAAGGAACATATATGCCCTATAGGAAGCTGACAACACTTGGGTTAGAACCCGGGCACCTGCGAGGGCCCATCGAGTGCTTCCCTGAGAAGCAAATCTGAACTTCCTTTTCACAAAGCTCAGGCCCTCGGATGGGAACGAAGGGGAACTCCAACCAGCCGGCCTCCCTTCCTCTTGATAAGACTCCTAAGTCTTCAAAACTGAAGAGTCCCTTGTTTTCAGTACAAACGCAGTTTCGCTGATCCAGTCTTTCTTCACATCCCTGTGGCTCCACAGTCTGTTCCTGCCAAGAAAGCCCCCAAACTAACCAAGCTAAGGGTTAAATATAGCCAGGAACTCTCACTTCTTATTTATAGTAAAAATACTTGTGGGAAAGTTTCAGCCGAGAGCAGCATAAGACTAACTTCTCATTTCTTTTCTACAGTATCTGATTATGTTTTTCAGGTGCAACAGGAAACCAAGATCCTGAAACACATGAGCCTTATTGCTGTAAACCCCACATGCCTTAATTACCTTGTAGCTCTTTCACAAGTGTGTTAATGCTACTTGTTTATACAACATGAATAGAGCACTCAGGAAATTACTATGCAGCATCCTCGCCAACTTACATTTGGCAAACTATTTATGCCCACCTAAATACGGTTATACACAGCACCATTCATTTCCACCCAGAACTCTGGCACTGGTAGCCTGCTGTTAAGCAATGGATGTTTTGAAGCAGTATAAAATTGTTCAATTTGAAAAAAGAGTATCATGGGGCCTGGATTTCATCCGTAACAATGAACAAATCAATCCTGGATCCCACCATGAGAAACACTTGACATCTCAGGATTTTCTCTTCCTAAAATTTATTCACGCAATATCGTCAAGAAGTGGCACATGCTTCTAACTCACCTCCTTCAATCTCCAGAAACACTGGAACTGAAACAGTGGGTTTTAATATTAGAGCAGGACTATCTTTTCTGCTACCACTGTCACCAACACCTATTACCTGGAAAGTGACAGCAGCTTTATTCAAATATTAACAGTACCAGCCACGACCTGTTTGGTTCCTTCTGGAAGAAGGAAGGTGGCTGCTCTGTGAACACAGGGATAAGCCAAGAAGAGAAGCAGGACACTTGGAATACACCTGAATGGAGCACACAGCGGGCAGGACAGCAGAAATGCCTCTCTGAAGGACTGACAGACGGCTATGAACACTGCCGAGGTGTCAGGCTGACGCTGCAGCCTTACACCTGATGCCTGTGTGTGCACTTGCCCACATCTTTATTCAGCAAAGCAAGGGCTGCAATTTGAGCACTGCTCTGAACAACAGGAAGCTGCTGCACACGTGGCCACGGCAGACAGGCTTCAAATGAGAAGTGAACCCTCAGACACGCGCACTGCCACCGGCCAGAGGCTCCAAGCGACTGTGCTCCCGCTGTACGAGGGAGCTGCTTGGGAATTACACAACAGGGTTGGCCCTAAGGGAAGTTAACTGCTCTTGTGAGAGTCTCTCCAGCTCGTCATGGGATTTGTAGTGTGTGATAGTGGGGGAAAAAAGAACGACGTGAGGAGGAGCAAATGTGGCACTGAAAACAGAGCACAGGAATCTCACAGTAACCTGGGCGTGACCTGAACCCTCAGAAATACAAGCGCTTGAATACAATACCATACTTCTGAGGAAGATGATTTATGCTTGTTAGTTCCCTTTTCCTCCTTCCAATGCAGCTACATATATCACATGAGGTACAGGTATTCAGCATAAGGAAGACTGTAAGAGCCCGTGGTTTGATGGATTTGCAGAGCCTGACAAAATACTAAGCATAGCTGCCAACACGCACCCCATGAAGAAAGGTCATGGTAAGCAGGGACACTTCTGACATATCCAAAAGAGCAGAAACTGTGGATGGTTCTGACAGATTTGTACTCCGTGCAAGTGCAGGTGACACCAGGAACGGCAGCACGACTTCGCCTCACTACAGGAAATACGTTTCACACAAACTATTTCAAACAACATGCACATTTGTCAGTTTAAATTCATTCCAACACCTAATAATTTCATAACTGGTAATTTCACTTGAAAACACATTAAGAAAGTTAAAAAAGTCTTACCTTGGCATAAAAGATCTCTCATCAGTCTTAACAGCCTTATGGAAGGATTTTCCAGGCTCCCTACAAGGGACTAAAAAAAAGAATTCATCAAAACGTATTTTAAATTAGAGTGTCTATGAGCATACGATCAACTCAGTTTCAAACCCAAACATGATTGCTACAGAAATTGCCCTTTGCTTAACCAAAGCAATTCTAAGCCATTTCTACCACTGATAGAACCAAGTTAGCTTAAATACACAAACTTTAACATGATTTCATCCTGCATCTGGAGCAGTGAAAGGCCTAGGTGGCAAGGGAAAAAAACCTGACAGTTTTCTTCCAATGCTTTCCAGTTCCAACACTCCAAAGTGGGTGCCCTGTCCCCGCTGCACGGGACCGTCCRGAGGACTGCACTAAGTGCTTTACACCCGCAAGCAGGTGGCACTGGGTCAGTGAGATAAACACAGAACAGGCCAGAACAGTTTGAAAACTTGACAGCAGTCCAATAATTATTCAAGAAAAATACCTTGAATGTTGGGAGAGATTAGAAAGCAGGAGTCTGTGGAATGCCTGCAACACTCCTATAAGCAGCCCAGAGCCTATCTAACAAGCACCCTCGGCTCGCACGTGTAACCGAGGGCTTGCACGTCCAGCTTCAGTAGATAAACACAGAAGTTGCAATGGGTCCTGTTTTGGTACTAAAAAAATTAAAACCCACTTCATTTTGCCCCAGGAGGAACTGGCAGCACAAACAATAGCAAACCACAATTTCTACTTGATCGCACCACTAAAAATGCTTCACCCTAACTGCAACTCCAGCTTGTAAACTATAGGAAGACAACATAAAATTGAAGTCTTGTAGGCTAAAAAAAGCTCAAAGCAGCAAGTTGACATTTCTATTGAATACAGAAAGGCATTTTCCTTGGGGAGCCAGAAGCAAGATTTGTGTTATGCCATTTCTGGAGCAGTTTAACCAGCCCATGTCCCAAGTTCAATGAAGATGCTTCAGTCTGAACAGTGACAGTGACTGCCCACCTGCCCTGCAGAGGCCCCGGGGCCAGCGGAGCCGGGAAAGGGGAATTTTGTCTCGGAGAAGCTGCACATCCAGCAAAATACATTTCCAAAGAACAAGTTGCAGAGAGCAGATCAACAGGGAGATTTTTAAAAACTGAGTCAGTAATAAATGAGTCATAAGCCAAAAACTTGACCGAAAAGTCAGGGGAGGAGGACAGGGCAGAAGGGTGGAGGAATCTGCTCATACTTAAACTCCCACATATTGAAATGAACCTTTTAAAACACGCACTAATATTAAATGGCTAAGACAGCCAAAACAGAGCAGGAAACGATACTCAGCATGGTGACTAATGCTTGAATCAAGCTTTGAATACACAGCAAATAGGTAGTTTTAAACAGACATGACCGTGTTTTAACAGATTAACGTTTCTGATGACCAGAATTATTCACCTACTCAGCTGGGAGTCCCATGCTGCCAAAGTCCAAGTGTTCAGCAGCTTTGTGCATCCTGCAAGGTCCTTATTCCTCTCCCCATCTTTGTTTGCCTTGAACAGGACAGCTTTATCCCATGGAAAATCCACCATGCTCCTGCAGGACATTTGCTCCCTAATATATATTGCACCAAACTCTCAAAACTTTAGCTGAAAGATGCAAAGCTGCCACCTCACTAGAAGGGCTCAGAGGCAGGACATGCACAGAGCAGTATTCTTGCTGTTTGCAGTTATGATTGAGGAATTTCAATGTAAGCAATGAAAGCTCATTAAACACACACTCTAAGAACTCTACATTAATCTAGGTGCTCTTTCAACAACTTATACAAATCTGGCCTAGYATCAAGAAAGGGCCCCAGAAACACCACTTATCTGGTTTTCCCCTGCATCTACTACACAGGGACTGCACCAACTGTCTCACTAGTCTGAGTTACAGCACACAGGGGACACGCACTTCACATCTGTTCTGTCCACCATGATTTGCCTTTTGCACCCCAAGAGGAATCTGGGGTTTCAGTTACAAAAGACAAATTGAGAATAACCTCCTTTCAAGTTATTTCAATGCTACAACGCATTTTAAGAGATGAAAACCCAGCACACATCCTCCTGTAAAGAATGCATGGGAACCGATGAAGTGCTTTGAATGCAGCCTGTTATCTGATGCATCTTAGAGCACGGAAACTCAACCACACGCACTGTGGATCCCCACTGCTTCTTGCATCACCTGTAATTATTTTACAGCATCGCAGTGCGTGCCCTTCTGCTGTGAAGGCATCACCTGCAAGAGCCCAACACGGCTGCTTCTTGCATCACCTGTAATTATTTTACAGCATCGCAGTGCGTGCCCTTCTGCTGTGAAGGCATCACCTGCAAGAGCCCAACACGGCACGGAGCTGCCCTGCAGGGCGACAGGAGCCCTGTGCAGGGACAAGGTGCCACGTGCGACACCATGCAAAGGGCATCCACAAACAGGCAAAGAGGATCAAGGGGAGCAGCAAGACACCAGTCTGGCAACAGGACACGTGCCCAGAGCCACCTYGCAATGAAGCATATGGAGGACTGACTCCCTCAACCTGCTCCTTGAGGGAGCAGACACCCAATACAGCGTGAGGGTCCCCAATACACCGTGATACTTGTGGTAGCACAAGGCTTTGTTGTTTAGTACCGTGTCATGGAAGCTCCAGATCACAGCAATGCCCATCACTGTACGCTGCTTTTGGAGGATGAAGCGGGTCTGTTCTGATGCTGTCAGTGCAGAAATACGAACTCCCTGCAATCAGCCTCCAGACATAACAGGAACAGCAAGAACATCCAAGTTTGATATGAACAAAAACCATGCAATTGTACGTAAAAATGTAACAAAACAGTTGAATGAAAACTTAACCTTCACCCCCAAATATTTTTTAGCAGCTCTGTATCCAAAACTCGAGGCAAGAGGCAGTGTCACAGACAGGTAAAACCTCGCAGCTGCGGAAATCAAGGCATTTCAACAAGAGATAATCAGGATGCCATAGTCCTTGTTGAGCATTTTTCCAAATACGAGTCAACAGCAGAGCTGAGTTCACTCAGGCTGCTCTTGCTGCACACATTTGCCCTGATCCAAGCCACACACATCTGAAAAGGGGAATTTTAGTCCAAATGTTGACAGTCTCCCCTACAGCGCTGAGGGCGGCTGACAGTTCAGCACTGCAACCTGCATCCTCCCTGAACCGCAGCACAGCCCCGGCTCAGAGGGGTGAGGGGAAAGGAACAGGAGGGAGGCGCTGAACAAGAGCACAAGCATCACAGGCACCAGAGCCCAGAGAAAACCCAAAAAGGCTCCCAGAAGGGAGCTCTAGCTGCTCGCACTGTTACCCTGGCAGGTGGTTTGTTCTCTTACGATCACTTGAAAGATTCAGTCCTGTATGACTGAGATACAAATCAGGAAAAAGGAGACAGGCAAGGGGAGCAAACAGCATTCAMGGGGTCTGGGAGCAGAAACGAGACAATAATCTGCTTTTGTACCAGCTTGCTCAGCATCTGCACCTCCCTTTCTCTAATGGTCCAGTTTTCACACACGGAAACTCAACCAGAAACATTAGGGAAGCCAAAGTATTAGAGGTTTTCATGGGGAAGTATGCTGCGAGCATTTTACTGAGTAGGGAGAAAAAGCATACAAATTATGGCCTGAACTTCAGCATCTATTTCCAATGCCTGTCCTTCAGAAAGAGCCATCCCTTTCTGCCTTTCCCTAAGGCTCGTAGATGCCGGGAACATTATAACCACACAACTTGGTTATTTTTACCTTGGCAGTTAAATATGGAATCACAGCTACTATAAACAAGCCCATTTAATTTTSAACTTGTTAATATTCTTTATGCCAACTTTTCTTTAATTACTATAAACTAGACCATGAAAACGCTCTCTCCCCATTTCTATTAAACACTACTTAATTCTTCACCAAAATTCCTTCATTAATCACAGCTGTGCTCTCAAACTCAAATCAAGCACTTATGCAAGGGACAGATTTACAGTGACTAAAAACCATGCTAAAACTGACAGGTTCCCTTTACAATGAAGGGGCAAGAGCAGAACGCGAGGCCTGGAGCTGACACCCAGGAGGGCCTGCGGTGCCTTCAACGCTGGCACCAGGCTCCCACACTCCGTGTCCAAGGAAAACTCCCATTCACCATCTGCTCCTTAATTAGGAAGTTGTTTTACACCATGCTCGTAGATACTGAATCGCTCAATGGAGTCGCCGGTCCATTAAATACTTGCCGGTGTCAATGCAGGCCGTGAGCGGTTGGCGTGCGCCTGCTGCCCCACGCAGGGACGGCACGCGGGACGCAGCCCCCGGCTAATTAGTGCAGGGCTCCCCCAAGAAGACCGCAAGCCCCGTCAGGGCCCGGCCCCGCTCATTAGCGTGAGCTTCATTAGCAGAATGGGAAGCGYTGCCACCCGCTCGCCGGCCCAGTCACTTACCCGGCGCTACAACCGCTCGTCTCGGAGGCTCCCAAGTCTCCTCGGCCCTGCCTGGGGCAGCCACCCCACAAAAAGGAGCTTAAAATAGAGCACGACTTCGGGGGATTCGGCCAGTGCAAGAGCAAGGTGACAAGCTTCCAAATGAGTAATTTTCCGTCTGACTTTTATTGCTTATCTTTACAATATCTGATATCTAAATAAAATTTTGTATTAATATCACATATATTCTAGCAGGATCATTTTATGTTATTACAACAGAAATCAATCCATTTTTCAAATTCAACAGTAGAAATCAACATTTATATCGACTGTTTTTAACATCAAATCAAACAAAAAAATCAATGCAACAAGCATATAATTAACCACATGCATAATAGTGTTGTGGGATGAGTCACTATGCAACTACAGTGTTACTCCTTCTGCAGTATATACTCAATTCCTCTGAGTTCCTAAGGTTTTCCCTCTATCAAATTTAACCTAATTTAACCTTAAAACCTAATTATTTTTAAAGGCCTGTTTTTGTTTGGTGGCTTCAGGGGTGTTTGACATTCAGAAACATGCATGTTCCTCTATACAAGTTTGCCAATGAGCAGCTGATAAATAAATCTGATTCCCCATCATAAGG